GCTCCTGGTTGCAGTATTTCAATGTTGGGGATGATACAATGACTCCTCCTTTCTTCCTGGGAGCTCTATGAAAATAAGTGAACTACCCTGTGTCCATTTGATGAATTCAGGATGGACACATCTGGGAGTCGGCTCAGGGAACGCTGGAGACCAGCTGTCCCATACGTCTACCCCCTTCTGCTTCTCTCCTCTTTCCTTATTCTAGTCCTTCCTTCCACTTGGTCTGTTTCCATCTTCTGCTTTCTTCCCACCTGACCGCTGATGTCTCCTGTCCTTGTGTCATCTGCTGTCACTATCATGACTCCTGTTCATTCACTATCCCACCTGTGTTTCACAATCAGGCACTCACCGCCTGGGAATGCAAGATGGCATGTCCCTCTACAAGAGATGAATATGGAGCAAAGACTTCCACTCTGCTTCAGGTGCTTGACCCCTGTGATAGCTAATTTTATGTTTCAGTTTAGGCCATGGGGTGGCCAGAGATTTGGCCAAACATTATTTTGGGTGAGTCTGTGAGAGTGTTTTTGGATGAGATCAACATTTGAAGGGTTTGACTAAGTAAACCACATTGCCCTCCCCAGTGTGGGTGGGCCTCATCCAATCAGCTGAAGGCTTGAATAGAACGGAAAGGTTCACCTTCCCAAGAGTAAGAGGAAACTCTTCCTGCCTGACTGCCATGGAGCTTGGACGTCCGTTTTTTCCCTGCTTCCAGACTTGAACTGAAACTTTGGTTCTTCCTAGGTCTCAGGCCTGCTGGTCTTTGGACTGGAACTATGCCATCTCTAGTTTGCTGACTGCAGATCTTGAGATCTGTCAGCCTCCATAATTGTGTGAGCCAATTCTTGATAATAAATCTCTTTCTTGGGATCCCTGGGTGGCTCAGCAGTTTAGCGCCTGCCTTTAGCCCAGGGCGTGATACTAGAGTCCCAGGATCGAGTCCCGCGTTGGGCTCCTGGCATGGAGCCTGCTTCTCCCTCTGCCATTCTCTCTATGTCTATCATAAATTTAAAAATCTTAAAAAAATAATAAATCTCTTTCTTGGGCTGTCTGGCTGGCTGAGTTGGTTGAGAGTCTGCCTTGGGCTCAGGTCATGATCCTGGAATCCTGGGATCGAGTCCCACATTGGGCTCCCTGCTCAGCGGGGAGCCTGCTTCTCCCTCTCCTTGTGCCCTCTACTCATGCTTGCTCTCTTTCTGTCAAATAAATAAATAAAATCTTTTTTTAACTTTTTAAAAAATAAATCTCTTTTTTTCTTAACATTTTATTACTTTTTTTTTTTAATGAGAGAGAAAGACAGAGATAGCAAGAGAGAGCACAAGAAAGGAGGAGAGGGGGGAAGCCCCGGTGGCTCAGCGGTTTAGCACTGCCTTCAGTCCAGGGTGTGATCCTGGAGACCCGGAATCAAGTCCCACGTCAGGCTCCTGCATGGAGCCTGCTTCTCCCTCTGCCTCTCTCTCTCTCTCTCTCTACGTATCTCATGAATAAATAAATAAAATCTTTAATTAAAAAAAAAAGGAGAGGGAAAAGCAAGCTCCCCTCTGAGCAGGGAGCCCCACACAGGGCTTGATCCCAGGACCTTGGGATCATGACTTGAGCCAAAGGCAGATGCTCAACTGACTGAGTCATGCACGTGCCCCAATAAATCTCTTTCTGCATGTAACTCCTTTGGTTCTGTTTCTCTAGAGAATCCTGACTAATACAGTCCCTGAATGGGGCTGGGGCTCAGCCATGACCCCAGGCTTGTCTACTCTGGGCTACAGGTGGCAGGTGCCCAGGAAGATGCCCATTACACATGTGGACATGGTTTGCCATTGATGGTGAACTTCCCAGATACTCCACTAGTCTGCTTGTGATAATTAGTCCACGGTTGGCAATTGGGTGGCCCTTGAATCGTTTTTCCCATTTGACCTGTGATCAAGGCCCTGGGAGAATGATTTAAGTTTCTGCATTCTCTCCTGTCTGGGCAATCACATCTCACTCAGTATTCTTATTTTTAGGGGATAGTGATGATGGTTAGCACAGAGAGAATGGCAAGCTTGTTTCAATGCTGTGCCTTCTATCTTGGACACAGCAAGTATTTCTAAGTGCCTGTGCTCTGCATGGTAGACATGGGTGTGACTTTTGTCCCCTCTGGATATTGCGAATGTGAAAGTGACCACAAGTATAAAGATAAGCCAGGAGAAAAGACACAGAAAAGAAGACAAAGTGGAAGTGCAGGCATTTACCGTGGAGCACGGGCATTAGGGTGACGTGCCCTCGAGTAGATGAATCTGGACCATGAATAGAAGAGAAAGGCCAAGGTGATAAATTGCCAACTTCCTCCCCATTAAACACTCGGTCTGGATCATCAGGGCCTTGGGGACACTGTGGCCAGTCTCCTGTTCCTTCCTGCAAGAGAGCACGTGCTGAGTAACTGCTTTTGGCGTCTGTGTGGCATGAAGTCTTGAGGAAAAGGAGGGGGCTCACGTTTGTTACCATCTTGGCAGCCCCAGTGGACCACAGATGATGATCACAGAGTTAGGAAGAAAGGGGTTGGGGTCAGGGAGGGGCCTCGAAGTCACAAGCAAAATTCTGGGGTCTGATCCAAACCCCAACAAAAAAAACGGAATTCACTTAATGGACTTCCATTCGCATATTCCGCAGACAACAGGCACCTGCTGAGTGCCAGGCCCTGAGCACTGAGTGTGGGGTCGGCTCCCTCTGCCAGGGGCGTGGAGCTGCTCTCTGGAGCCAACACCAAAGCAGAAGAGCCCAGAAGCTAGATCTGCCGTGACAGGTGCTCGGATGCTGCCTAACTGGCCGCCTCAGCCCTCCCCAGCGTGGGTCCAGCGGACTCTGGCTGCCCCGCGCCGCCCCCAGAGGCCAGTGGGGTGTGCGTTCCCCAGGCCAGCTGCTGGCTCGGTTTCCCGCTTAGAGCCACCCTGGCCACGCGGACGGACGCGGCCAGCCCAGGGTTCGCCCACGGGGGCGGCGCGCGGGGGCCAGCAGGAGGCAGCGGGGGGCAGGCAGAGGGCAGGAGCAGGGCGCGGGAGGACGGACGCTGCCACAGGACTCGGGATCACGGCATCTTCCCCGCCTTCGGCCGGTCCCGCCCCCCTCCCGGGCCGGGCAGTGGGGCCAACTCCCACAGTGGGCTTGGGGTACGAAGGAGCCAGGCCGGCTGCCCCGGCCGCCCTCATCCCCTCGAGCTCTGCCCTGCTCTCCGACTCTCTTCGGACTTCGACATGGCTGGAGAGGCCGGGCCGGGCCCCGCGCACCCGGGCCTCAAGCGGCCTCAGGGCACAGCCAGCCCCTGGTGAGTCTGCCGTGCCGGTGCCGGTGGCCGCAGCGTGCAGGGGCGGGAGGCTGGCTGCTGGCTTGTCCTTGTCCGAGGCTCTGGGCTCCCCTGCCAGGGAGCGAGGCCCCCAGGAGGCCAGCTCAGGCCACCCACCAGGGCACCTGGAGGGCCCCCTCTCTGGCGGCAGGTTTTGACTGTAGACGGAGGGAGATGACCCAGTTCGTTCCAAGGCCCCTGGTCACCCGTGTCCGCCAGCACCATCCTGCTGACACAGCCAGGGCGCCTGGGTCCCTCCCAGGGGACCTGCACCTGCACCTGCGGGATGCGTTGGGGGCGGTTTCCAGGTACAGATGTTTGGGAAGCAAATGGGGACTTTCCTGGATGAACTCCTGGCCCTTAACTTGGGAAACTTAAATAAAATGTTCAGAAATCTTTAAACCTTTTCAGAAAGGAGTTCGCCAAACTCTACCGGCCACTGTGCCATTTTCACAGGCGTAAGGGCAGTGCGCCCCCGGGCGCTGGGCATCCGTGGCGGCCTCACTCAGCTCCTGCCTCGCGGCGGGCATGCGGGTGACTTCTCCCTCCCGGCGGAGGAGGCAGGGACACAGGGTTCCCTGTTAAGGACTGCACCGTACAGGTGCCCTGGTACCGAAGCTTCCAGTTTCTTTGGGGTTCCACCTTGCTTCCTCTTCCCGGAAGGGAGTTGGTAGGGCTGGGCTAGGGGCTGCTCCGAGAAGTCTCTGCGCCTCCTGCTTGACCTTGAGACAGATGAGGCCAAGTTACTCCCTGCCAGCAGCCGCCCGAGGGCGTGTGTCACCGCCGTGTGCCAGCGTACCCACGTGGGTGGCTTCTCCACTGCTTCTGTTTGGGGCTGATGAGTAGGTGTCTGCTCCCGGGGAACCCATGGTTTTCTAAACTTGACCTCGGCCCACAGCACATTCTATGGCTGCCTTCTAGTTCTCTTTTTGTGGGGAGCCGCGGCTCGCAGACTGTAACAATTAGCGCAGACCAGGGACCAGATGCAGATGCCCCCCTACGGGGAAAGAGGCAAAACCACAGGCTAATGACTGAGGGGTGGGGAGGGGGGGAGGGGGTGGGGCTGGGGGGTGAGGGGGTGGGGGGGCCGGCAGAGCAGAGCCCCCCTTCCTCAGGCCCGGAGGGACCCTCTGCGTGCAGCAAGCACCGCTGGGGGGTGCACGCCACCCAACACCTAACTCCCAGGGCCATCCTGCTGTCTCAACCCGCGCAGCTCTCCATCTGCGCTAAGCGGTCAGGGAAGTACCATTCCTGTACCATTAATTCCTGGCTACTTTAAAAAACCTTTCTGGGGCGAGGTGGGGTGGGGGATGCGGGTGGAATGGAAGGGAGAGGGGGAAAAGGAAAAAGCTTACAGCTGCATTGGCCGGGAATCGAACCCGGGCCTCCCGCGTGGCAGGCGAGAATTCTACCACTGAACCACCAATGCTGCGCCGACAGCAGCCCCACTCCGGAGGCTCAGGAGCTCGGCCGCCGCCCGCGCCCGCGCCCGCCCAGGCCCCGCCCCGCCCCTGCTCCCGCCCCTGCTCCCGCCCCTGCCCCCGCCCCGCTCCGTCCCGCCCGCGGCCCCAGGGCCGGGAGCGTCTCCTCCGCGCGGTGGCGCCAGCGTCGTCTGTGTCCTCGCCCCCGAGCGCGCGCCCGCTGCTCCCCGGCTCCCGGGAGGCTGCCTGCGTCCTGCACCCCCGCCGCGCCGCGCCCCGCCCCGCCCCGCGCCCGGCTCTCGCGCGCTCCTCTCCCCCACGAAGGCCTCCCTCCCACCCCCGGAACCGGCATCCCAGCTGCTTCCAGGCCGCCCCTCCGGACCTCCTGGAGCCAGAGAGCGGGGCGGGGGCGGCCGGAACCGCCTCCGCAGGCCGGGCCTGGGGGGTGCGGGATACAGGGGAAGGGCCCCGAAGGTCGGCACTCAGACCCGGTGGCCCTCCAGGCCTCCCCCTCGCGGACTGGGCCTGAGCCGGGCGCGGGGGAGCGCAGCCCCGGAAAGTTGTTCCAGAAACTGTACTGTCCGGCCCGCATCCCCTCTGCCACCCCTGATCACCCTTCCAGCCCCAGGCGCAGGCGGCACCTGAATGAAGCTCCTGCAGCTCTGTCCTGCCCAGAGCCTCCCTGCCCAGGTCAGGACCCAGCTGTCCCTTTGCACCCACCTTCCCAGCCCTCCTACGCACCGGTTCCCTCCCTGGAGATTCATGGCACATGAGAGAAGGGGCAGAGGCCTGGCGGGAGAGTCTGGGACCTTCCTTCCAAACTCCTCTCCTCTCCCAAAGCCTGGAGCAAAGACGAAGGTGGCCTGGCCACAGCCCTAACCCTGCCTGGCCAGCCCTGCCAGTGCTGGGTGGCATCCTGGAGATCCCAATACAGGGATTAAAGGCTCTCACACCCCCACTGTGGCTTTGGGCCCTGACTTAACTCTTCCCTTTCATCCTTTGCCAGACTAAGATCCAGAAGGCCAGCTGTTCCTGGGTCGGGCAGAGGATACTTTGGAGGGCCCCAAAGGCTGCAATTGTCCCCCTCCTGTTACCTGGAGCCACCTGGAAGATGCCCCTATCGGAGGCCAGACATGGGGAAGCTGTGGTCTCCCAAAGTGGCCTTGGTTAAGTCCCTAAGGGTGCTTCTGGTGGAGAATCCTGGGGTTCTAAGGAAAAGTTGTATACCTCAGTTCTTCAGGTTAAACTGGGGTCTAGGCAGGGCCTCTGGCGGAGAATGACCCCTTCCCCATTTGGCTCTATTGTAGCATGAGTGATTATGACCTGGACCATAAGCTGTACAGGGAAGATGTCCCCTACGGGTAGGTGGTTCTGGTCCCCTTGGTCCTCCGGGGAAACAGGTGGAGCTGGTAAGCCTGACTCCCTCTCTGTCCTGTCCCAGTAGGGTGTATGAATACCAAAGGATCCCTCCACTCATCAACCGCGTGCCTGTCAAGATCCGGAGGACCCAGGTGGGCATGGGGGTCAAAAGCAGCTTCCGTCTTCACACGGGCCCCAGGAAGAGCCACCTGCCCCGGGAGCAAATAAAGCGTGAGTGAGGGGGTACAGCCCTCAGCAGGGCTGGGGAAGAGCTGGGCAGACCTTAGCGGTGAGGGCTGGCCTGGGAGCCCTGGCAGCAGAGCCGTCTGCGCCTGGTGGGACACCAGCTCTGGCCCCTCTCCAAACAGTCCCAACTGAGGAGCTGCACTCCATCAGGGGGGAGCTGAGCCAGATCAAAGCCCAGGTGGACCGTCTATTGGAGAATCTGGAGCACATGGGCCAGCAGAGGGACCAGCTTCCAACTGGGGGCCCGGGACACATTCCTGGTAAGTTCCAGCTTTTCCCACTGCGGAGGGTGCCAGGGGGTGGCACCTGGGGTCCTGCCCTGGGCTGTCTGCAGGGCTCCTTCCTGCCCTCCCAGGGTGTACTCTCTCCCACTCCCTCTGCTTGTTCCCGTGGCTTGGAGACCCCATGGCTTCTGGGTTGTTCTATGAACCCACCCACTCAGCAGCTACCTAGAGGCAGAGCTGTGTCCCAGCCCATGCCCATCTTGTCCTCTTAAGCCCTAGGCACCGTTGATCAGTGCTGGGCACCAAGTGGCCTCTCTCAGATCAGCTGGGGCCTCCAAACCTGGCCTTTAACTGTGACTCTCCCCGCACAGGGTCAGAGGACAGTGAAGAAAACAGAGGCCCAGAGAGTAAGGGCTCCTCATGCAGAATCACGGAACTCCAGCAGGAGCCCCGGGGCCAGAGGGCCCATCCAGAAGCAGACAGCTCTGAGGACAGCACAGACCCAGAGGAGGCAGTAAGTGGCCTGGCACCTCCCCCATCCTCACCCTCCTTGGGTTTGGATCCTTGTGGCTTCCCTGTGAACTAGGGAGAGACTCAGGTTTGTGCAGGAGCCCACAGTGGTGGCTGAGGGGACACAGGACTTCTGCCACATGCAATTCCCAGAAGATGGCCCTGCACTGCTTTATATCCCCTCTCATCTCGGGCTTGACAGCTCAGCTGGACTAGGGGCTAGTTCTGGGCTGAAATACAATCATGTCCTGGAAGCTGGGTGGCGGGCTTTGAGCACTGCAGAATGTCACAGGTTTGCCTCATGGTCCCAGACCCCTTGCCAGAGGCCCCAGAACTGGTTAAAACTGGCCTTTTTCCTGGCTCTGCTCCCACACCTTGTGGTGTACCATGCTCCCCAGGGAAGCTGGGGCTCACAGACCTTCCTGGACGGAGAACATCCAAACCAGGATGTGATGGTCTGATGATAGCCCTTTGGGTAGCATTCAAGGGCCCCAGTGTTCCCTGCCCTACCACATTCTCCTCCCTTCTTGATAATCCCTGAGGTGGGCCAAGCCCCATGTGTTTGGGCCACTTCGGCAAGGTCCAGGATGCCTGGGGGCTGGCAGGAACAAGCTTCCCTTCCTCCACCTGTCTGGCTCTGCCCCCTGGACTGCTGGGCTCTGCAAAGTCCTTACTGCTGTCCAGGCCTGAGTCACATCTGGGAAAATACTGGGCTGGATGAAGGGACTGCTTTGGCGGTTCTGGGTTCCCAGGCCTCGGGAAGAATCTAGAGTAGCACTGAACGGGCAAACCTGCTGAGAAAGAGACATGGGGTTGAGGGGAGATGTTGGCAGACAGGCTTCCCTTTCCTAGCCATGCCATGCCTCTCGGCCCTCCTGGCCAGAGTCCTGTTTCTTTATTTCCTACAGGTGAAGAATCCTGCATCGGACCAGGAGGGCAGCCAGTAGAATGGTGGAACCCCTCTGGGCTCCTTCCTGGATGGCTCCCTTCCTTGCCTCGTGTGGGTTTTTGAAGGCCTCCTGGAGGTGCCTGTGCAGCCCGAAGCCACCCTTCTGGAAGGAGTGCAGTGGAAGTGGGGGCCTGGCTCAGCCAAACTAGCCATGAAGCTTCTCCGTAATGGTGGCTTTTGGAGGTCATGTTTTCAGATGATACGAGCTGAGGGTGGCCTGCAGCTGCCTAGCATAAGCCTCCCATCCTCATGAAGCTGAGGCCGTCTTGCAAGGGGCCCCAGGTCCCCCTGGGTACACATCAGCCCCCAGTGACTGCAGGTACCGTGGTGGCTGCTCCTTACTCCGAAGGCCCTGCAAGTTCTGAGTAGGCAGCCAGCACAGCTCTCTCCAGCCACAGTGGCACACTGGAAACCTTCATGTTCCTACGGTCCCCCTTCCAGTCTGCACCTGGGCTTTCAGCTCCTCAGGGTGCCCCACATAATCCCCTTTGGTTCCAGACTACCCATCCACCCTATAAAGCCATCCTTCAGAATAGGGACATCATTTTTATGTTCTGCTCCTGTCTAGTCTCTTGCTAGTGTGATACTATGTGTTTCAGATCTGCTCTGGAAATAGTATCAAAAGGGGGAAAATGCACAACCCTTTCCCCCCTTTTGGGGGTCAGGGGTTTTTGGTAGGGTCATCAAGCCTCATTCTGGTCCTTGGGCTGCCTCAGGCCAGGCCTTCCTGGAGAAGCTGAGCAGGCCCCTGCATCACAGAAGTTCAGCAGCTCCTACTAAGCCAGGGCACAGAAGAGGGGACCAGGCTGCCCTGCCTTCTTCCAATTCAGACCTGAGCACAAACCCACAGAGCTCATGAGCCACACCGGAAAGATCCTGCTCTTGTGGTCACTCAGGCCAGTTCTCCATATGGAATGATGGCCAGGCCACATCCGACTTCCCAACAACCAGCAGCTCTTACTCCTGGAAGTTCATCTGCCCTTTCCCAGGAGACAAGACTGGACCAGGGGCACCAAATAATAAAGCCAACCTAGTGGGGCACCTGGGCTCAGTTGGTTAGGCATCAGATTCTGATTTTGGCTCAGGTCATGATCTCAGGATCATGAGATCAAGCCCAGCATCTGGCTCTGCGCTCAGCATGGAGTCTGTGTGGGATTTTCTCTCTTCTTCCCCACTGTCAACCCCCTTGCATGCCTCTAAATTAATAAATCAAAAAAAAAAAATAGCCTGGACCCCCACTTCTTAGCAGCAGTGGGGGAGGCCTCTAGCTTCCACCCAGAGCCAAACCCCTTCCAGCTATCCAAACCTGAGCTGTGGTCTTGCCCAGCACCAAACCAGAGGCCACAGAGTACACCCAGAGTGCTCCTGGACCCACACAACCTTCCCTACTGTTGTCACCTTGGCAATGGCCAACTCTGCTACTCTAGGGGCACCTTCACCTCCTTCAAAGCACATTTCCCCAAACCAACTCCTGCACCTCCTTTAGTTTCAGCCAGTCTTTTCTGCTTATGTTGGTCTAAGGAACAGGACACATTTAAGACAATGCTGTCCCCAACCCCTCGACACCAGGAGTCGACTACAGGGCACAAAAGAGCCTTGCTCTTTTAAATTCACTACCGAGATGAACCACAACAGACTTTTCCAGATATAAAGGAGTTCGTTTTAGCTCAGATATAAATGAGAAGGCACAGCCCCCTTGTCCATTCTCTCAAAAGCAGCCCAAGTCTATAGAAGGGAGTCACTAGCCGGCCTGCACAGGGTCCATCCCTTACAACAGTTCCAAGTCCCGTCCTCCAGGTGAGTCCAGCCGAAGTCCTTCCCAACCTGGGAGTCAAGGTGCATTCGCAAGTTTCTTCACCTGGGTCGTAGCTGGGAAGCACCTGCTCTAGTAGAAACGTTTCTTTAACAGAAGTCTCTGAAGAGCCGTCCCAACACAACCGTCCCGCGCTGTGCACGCCCGTCGGATCCTCTCCCGCCCGGAGTTCTCAGCGCCGCGCAGTCTGGCAGCGGAGGGCAAGGGCCCTTCGGGGACGGGGGCAGCTCGGTCCTCGGCGTCCGTGGTCGCTCGGGCTCCCGGCTCAGGACGGCGCGGCGGCGCCCCTCCGACGGGCAGCCCGCACCAAGCACTGCTGCAGCACGGGGTAGAGGCGCTGGCAGCCCTCCAGGCCCAGACGCACCGCCTCGGCCCAGCTCTCGGGCGGGCCGCCCTCCCCGCTGCCCAGCAGCCCGGCCACCTGGTTGAGCACCGGCATGAGCGCCACGGTGAGGCCGGCGGCGGCGCGCTCCTCCTCGAGGCGCGTGGGGTCCAGCAGCCAGGTGGGCGCGGGTTCCGGCGTGCGGCTCAGGCCGCAGCCCACCACCAGGTCGTACATCTCGACCCCCGCGTCGGCCAGGGCGAGCGCGGCGGCCGTGAGCGCGGCGGCCAGCGCCGAGCCGCCGTCCTCGAGCAGCAGCGCCGACACCTCGAGCTGCGCGCGCGGGTAGCGGCCCAGACGCACCGCCGGCTCGAGCGCCTCCTGCAGGGCCAGCGCCAGCTCGCGCTCCTCCCCGCCGCCCGGGGGCGCGCGGCGCCGGCGGCCGGCGAAGGGCGCGCGGCGGAAGTCGCAGAGCAGGCGGCCGCGCAGCGCGGCCGGGGCCTCGCCGCCCGCTCCGGCCGGGCCGCCGCCGCGCTCGCTGCCCTCAGCCTGGCGCGGGCCGGACACGGCGCAGAGCACCTTGGTGCCGCCCGCCTCCAGGTAGGCCGAGCCCTTGGCTTGGCTCAGGAGCCCGGCGCGCGCGTACACGGGCCGCAGCCGCGTCGGGTCGCGGGCCGCGGGCGCCTCGTCCTCGTCGGCCGCGTACAGCTGCGGCGGCTGCGACTCCTCCGGCCCGCGGATTCGGCGGTGGTCCCCGGGCATGGCGGCGCCTGGCGTGCGAGCCGCTTCCGCCCGTCCCCTCGGCCCCGGCGCCGGCGCTTCCGCCCGCTTAAAGCCGCGCGCCCGCGCGAGGGCTGTCGGGATAGCGGCGGCCGGCGCCGCCCCGCCCCCTGCCGTCGCGGAGGAACAGCAGCCGAGCCGCGGGGCCGTCGCGGGGCCGCCGGGAGGTCCCTGGCTGGGGGGGGAGGGGGCCGACGCGGGGACCGGGCCGGCCTGCCTGAACGCTGCTAGCCTCTCGGGCCAGCGCAACCCCAGGGCGTACATCTGCGTCCTTTCACTTGTAAAGGTTGAAATTATTTTGCACTTACACGTGTGACCATCTCCTACATGTTCCCGTCTTGCCCAAGACATGGTCATTCCTGCCATCCTCAGTGCCCTGGCAGGCCTGACACTTGTTGAATGGAACATTCTCTCTCCTGCACTGGGTTGTGCACACTCCGTACCCCTAGGAGTCCTCACCTGGCACGTCTTGCTGAACCAGGTCCTCAGCACCCTCCCCCTGCTGCTTCTCTCACTCCCAGCGAGGGCGGGCCCTCACCCCCAGGCTGGTGACAGCTAGCCTCTGCTGCGGCTCTCCTCCTTCCTTGTCAGCGGGACTAGTTAACCTGGGCCCCACTGCCAACTGTTGTACCCAGGGAACACGAAATCAGCCAGAGCTAGCACAAACAAGCAGAACCTTTAACCTCCCCAGCGAACGGTTTCCAAACCCAGCTGTCTTCAGACTTGAGTGAATGGATTCAGGACCAGAGCAGGTCCCGATCGATCCTATCCATCTTTGGGTCAGGGAACCAGGAATGATGGGTCAAAGGGAAAGGGGCAGTCACCTAATGCACCCTAAGAACACCTCTGATCTCACACCTGACTGCTCAACATCAAAAAGGAGAGGAAGAGGGACACAGGCCTAAGAATGGGAGAGCTTCTCCTATAAAGTGCTTCCAGTAACCTCATGGCCCATCTTTTTTTTTTTTTTTTTTTTTTTTTATTTATGATAGTCACACACACACAGAGGAGAGAGAGAGAGAGAGAGAGAGAGAGAGAGAGGCAGAGGGAGAAGCAGGCTCCATGCACCGGGAGCCCGACGTGGGATTCGATCCCGGGTCTCCAGGATCGCGCCCTGGGCCAAAGGCAGGCGCCAAACCGCTGCGTCATGGCCCATCTTCTATTGAATGACTAATGTCTCTCTCCATCTCACCCACTCAACTCCCCATCCTATGGGCCACCTTCACCAATGTCTTCAGGTAATCCCAGAGGCCATTCCCAAAGTTCAGGAGTTGAGCTGGACTCGTTGAGGACCACAACCAGAAGCCAGTTGGGGCCATAGGCTATTACACAAGGGGCTCCTATGAGAGGTGGGGGGTTAAGAGATCACATAGCATCATCGAGTATTGCACATAGTCCTTTTATTCTCTGCACCAGAGAGGCCTAAAAGAACTCTTATCTACAGACACGAGCATGACAATGATAAATAGCAATCCTGGGGTAGTGGTTTTAGAAATGGCGCTGGTATGTAGGGAGGGCTCAGGGCAGAAATGTAACGTGAGCAATGAGTCACAGGCTAGCTCCCAGGTGCGTGAGTTCCAGTTACTGCTGGGTTAGGACAGACAGGGCTGTTTAAAGGTCCCAAGATCCAAATGTCCTCATGGCAGGTGGAGAGCTGGCTGGACGGATGCACTGGGTAAGTGAAGGATGCTTCCCAGTGGAAGCTGCCCCTACCCTTCAGTTCTTCACATCTCCCAGGTGGAGCTGGGCAAAGGAGGTGGCCAGCTGCAGTGCCTCCTGCAGGCAGCCCACATTTTTGCCTGTGGCCTGAGCAGACACATCTTTGCCACCACCTTTGCCGTCCATCAGCCCTGACACCTGCTGCACCCACTCACTGGCTTTCAGGCCCCGGTTGGCTGCATTCTGGAAGAAAGAAAGGGGACGTGGGAGTCAGGACAGAAGACGAGACTGAGGAAGACATGGAGGGGGTGGAAAAGGAAAAGTATGGAGGAGCTTAAAGGCCCACTCCTGCCCTCCTGGGTGCTGCCACCAGGGTTGAGACAGATCCTCCAGCTGGTACTACAGCTTGGGGCAGGCACCGGCAAGCCGGGCTTCAGCATGATTAAACACCCCCCCCCCAAGGAGAGAGCCTGAGGATAGGGGTGCTGGAGGAGGTGACAAACGGGGCCAGAAGAATGGGTGTTTCCAACTGGCTGCACACGCAAACAAGGGTCTTGAGCAAACAACTGTAAGAACCAAGCTTCCTCAGAAAAGCTATAAATACCACTTCCCACTAGTACAGGGCTGCAAGGTGTTCTGACCTGGGGGACTTGACACAAACACGTGATCCTGCCAGCTTCATTATCCACTGTGAAGAGCATGGCAGATGTCTCAGGGGAATGCGTCTTGAAGAGCTTCAAGGCTTCATTCAGGGCCTATGGGGAAAGCTGATGTCAGACCACAGCCTGGGGAAGGGGTGCCATGCTCTGCATGGTGCGAGTCTGCAAAGCTCAGTTCTCAGAGCACCCCTGCGGCCCACCCCCTTCTAAGAGCAGGTCCCAAGAGTCTGTGTGGAGGAGGACCCGCCCACACTCTGGTTCTGAGGTGTGCCTTACATCTTAGGAGCTGTAGCTCTCAGGCCACCAGCCCCCTCCATGGCTCAGCCTAACCTCAAACCAGAGAGCAGACCCTCAGGCATCCACTCTACTCAGAGCCACAAAGCTCACACTTCAGCCACCAGAGGGCTGAGACCCAGAAAGGAGACAAGTAGTAGACAGGTATAAAGCAACATAGGGAGTCCCAGCCCCCACGTTGCCTTGGCCGAGGCACCGCTTTCCATCTCCAAGATGACAAGGGGTTGGTTGGGGTTGCTGTCAATGAGTTGCTTTGTTTTCTCCAACACCTGCAAGGAAATCCACAAGAGAGGCTTTAGGTCAAAGGCCCAAACAGCTGTCCACACAGTCTCTGCTGGGCGAATCCTCCTTGTTCCCTTCCAGCCACCAGTACAGCAAGACTCACTCGCTTCTGGACATCAGCTTTGCTAGCCCGGTCTAAGTCATCCATGATCTTCTTCAAAGATTTGAGATTCTCCCGGAATTCATCCTTCTGCCACTGGGGGATGACTGCAGTGGCCAGGGCCTGGAACCAGAACCAGAATACCACTGGAATCTGGACCACAAGGAGCTAGGATGTGAGACATAAGTCCACCCCACCTTTCTGGCTTTGAACACCAAAGTCTTCCCTGGCTAATATCCAGAAGGAAAGAGAAAACATAAAACAAAAAGGTATCCACTGGCCTAGAGACCAGTCACCCTATGAGCAACTATATGAGTTGTACCAAGTAGGGCGAGAGAGAAAGGGGCAAAGAGAGCTGGGGCCCCTATAAGAGTTGGTCCCTACCAGGCAGTGGACACAGCCTGTGATGGGCTCACAAGAAGCCTCCACCTATTAACAGAGATGAGGAGGCCTGGCAACAGTGGGCACCCATTCCCCCAAGTCCCTCAACACTGATGCCCACTGGTGCTTTGAACGGGCCCTGCCACTGGCAGTGGGGGCAGCAAGCAGATTCCAGGAGTTCACAGGCTGGGATCCACGGAGACCCCTTTGCAAGGCTGCCAGACAAGAGATCAAAGGTCCAATGCCCTGAGAACCAGGACCTGAGAGTTCAGGGAGTGTCTGACTCATCTGGCCCCGAGCAGGGCCTGATGGGGGAGGCCGCCCCTACCTCTCCAAGGTCAGCGATCTCCCTCTGCACGTCCTTGTTTGGCGCAGTCTGGGCCTTCACTTTGGCCTCCATGACACAGAGAGAGTTCTTCAAGCTCTCCGCTTTCCTGAGGGCCTAGAGAGGGGCAGAGTTGTAAGCTCCCAGTTAGGTAACTTTCATCTTCACTCCTGCTGTAAACTGGGGCAAGCACTAATGGCAGGCTATGGAACTCCCAGGATACTAGAAGTTTCTCATTCTTTAAGGAGCCAGTGTTGGTGGCCTCATGCCCTAGCCCTCCTCACAAGCCTGACCAGCAGGAAGGCTGCACTGCCTCAGGCTCAGGGGAGAACCAACAACTCCCAAGTCAGGAGCCCTTCTCACCCCAACAAAACGACCAGTCCTCAAGCTTCAGCACATATCAGGCCCCAGCTGCAGTCCCCAACCCGGAGCAACTAGCCCTGTATGCTATGCGTCTCAAACTAGGCATGTACACCCAGGGAGATGTGAGTCAGTGCTGGGGGCACTGGAAGCCACATCAGAATTACGGCTTACCCTCCTAGAAGCAGATATATTATGGAATAAATGGCAGAATTTTTTTTTTAAGATTAAACACGGTATAGCTAAGTAGTCCTATACGAGGACGCCTGGGTGGCTTACCAGTTGAGTGTCTGCCTTTGGCTCAGGGTGTGATCCCAGGGTGCTGGGATCAAGTCTCACATCGGGGTCCCCACAGGGAGCCTACTTCTCCCTCTGGGTATGCCTCTGCCTCTCTCTCTTTCATGAATAAGTAAATAAAATCTTAAAAAAAAAAAAGTCATGTAGGCGGTGGTTCTTTTCCAGGTAGGGGTCACTGGCAGACAGTTTGGGGGTAGCATCCTACTTCCTGCCTTGTTCAAATAAGCTACAGACCAGCCTGCGGCGCTCACCTTCTGAGCTTCGGCCCCTGTGACAGCAACGATCCTCCGGATACCCTTGGCAATAGCTTCTTCACTCACGATCACAAAAGCTCCCGCATGACTGGAATTCTGCAGGTGCCTGATTGGCAGAGGACAAAGTCCACGGTGACAAGAAAGCCCACGCACCCTGGTCCTTGCCACACCCGGGAGACCATAATGAGAGCCTGAGGTCTTTGAGGTTCCAGGGAAGCCCCGACAAGGGCACAGTGGGAAGAGGCCCTTCACTTCAGTCATTCTTTCAGTGGCATTAAAGGCTTTGTAGGCAGCTTCCCGTGCTCTAAAGAGTGAAAAGGCATTAAGGCCGAGTGGGGGTCAGGTGAAGGCCCAATTCAGCTGGGCAGAGGAATGAGGTGCCCCAGGTTCCTAGCCATCCTCACACACGCACCTGTTCCCTGCCTGCCTGCAGCTCACAGGAGGCCCTGGAAGGGCTCTACCATGGCCTGAAGGATGTTCTTCTCAACGAGATTCCTTTGCAAGCAAGAACTTCCCAGGCCACCACACCATCCCAAAATGACCCCAAGGGCTACAGAGGACTCCAGCTGGAAACAAGTGGTTCTTGCAACCCAACCTGAGCTGGGTGTGCGGTGGGGCCTGACTCAGGGGCCCTGAGTCAATGGAGTGAATCCCCAGATGCTGCTCAAGCTGGCAAAAGAAGCTAAGTGAAGACCCCAGAATGGAGAAGAGCTAGGAACAGCTCAGGAGCTTGGTGAGTGCTCCATGGCCTTCCTGAAGCCTGAATTCACAGGCCTTCTTATCAGAATCAGCCCAGGACACAAGAGCAAGCAACTGTGAACTAAATGTTAAGACAATGCTTTTTTCCATCCTAGGAAGAACATTTCATCACAAAGCCAGCAAATGTCAATGCCGGATGCCAAGGGGTCTGACAGGAGCACAGGATCCTAAGGTTCTTGGGAATGCGATCTGGCAAGTGTATTTCTGAGAACTTCATTTCAACCTTATAAAAGCAAGCGGGGGTCTAGCCTATTACTCATTTCCTCCAATGATAGTACCAGATTAACAAAAAGCCAGTCACATCCACTGCTCCCCTTCTACTCACGTTCCCCCACAGAACTCAACAGAAGTGAGTGAGCCAGCAGGGCCAGAGGGGTCTTCCAACAGCTCGGACACTGGGACCCCAATGGAGACGACTCGCACAGGGTCAGGATAGGTTTCATCAAACACAGCCCGTAGGCCCTGGATGGCTTTAGCTGCTGCCAGGGGACAATCCTGGGTGTAGACCGGCTGCCATGGAAAGAAGACAGAAAAAAGGTAGGAAAAGATCTCTGGAGGGGCAGTAGGAAGTGGCAGGGAAAGCAAGGTCTTATAGGCAGGACTCTGGTTTCTAATCCCACCTCTGCCCATCATGTGCCCTGAGCCTCCTGAAATAAGGCACCATGAGTAAAGTCAAAGGGATCAAAATAGGAATTTCCAATTATTTTGCTAAACTGTGAACCAAATCTCATATGGATGCACTATAATTGTGTGAAATAAAACCAGAAAAGCTCTGGAGAGAGTAGAGCACAGACCTCCCTCTGCTCCCTTCCCCAGAGGCCCTAAGGCCCCTCCACAGGATACCACCACTGCCCCTACACTCAGTGCAGTTGAGAATTACTGCTTCAAACAAATCTGTGTGTTTAGCAGGGTATGGTCCAATAGAGGAAGAACATCTGGACTTCAGAGAAGGCTCCACAAAGAAAAGCGCTGGTGCAGGAAGAAACAAGGCTCGTGACCCAAGAGCTGATGCACAATCCTACCTTGGCTGCTTCAATCATCCCATTAGCAATCTCTTCAGCCTTCTTGATCTGCTGGGTGGACATGGCTCCTTTGGCAGTGAAGTCAAACCGAAGGCGGTCAGGAGCAACCAGGGACCCTTTCTGGTCAGCTTCTCCGAGCACAGAGCGAAGGGCGAAGTTCAGAATGTGCGTGGCTGTGTGGTTGCTCATGATGGGCCTCCGTCGGGGCTGTGAAGGGCAGGGGCAGCTGGTGGAAAGGTCTGCCGTCATCTCCTAATATCTGCTCTCTCCTTTCCCACTACTAAAATTTTTAGTTGGATACATGGCTGCCTGGAATAAGGGCTACGTTTCCCAGCTTCCCTTGCAACTAACTGTGGCCATATGACTAAATTCTGGTCAATGGGTGGTGAGCATATGTGATGCATTCCATTACCGGGAAGAAACCTGCCCTCCCCTTCCTCTTTCCCACTACCTAGACTAAGAAGTGAGAGTTGGCAGATTATGGCCTGTGGGCCAAAATCTAGCTTTTTGTCTTTTTTCATCAATAGGTTTATTAAAGACAGCTACACCCACGTGTTTATATATTATCTATGGCACTTTTATGCCACAACATCAGAAGTGTACAGTTGTGACTGAGATTATATGGCTCACAAAACCAAAAATATCAACTATCTGAAACTTCACAAAAAGTTTGCCAATGCCTGGCCTACCAATGGATCCGGTGGCTACCTTCTTAGACTAAGAAATCAAGGGCAACAATGAGGGTAGAAAAACAAGCAAGGAAAAACTGGGCCCGATGCCTTTGTGGGGCAGAGCCTCTGTATCAGCTTGGACTCCAAGATGAGAAACACATTTCTACCTTGTTTTAATAAGCTCCTGTTATTTTGGAGCTCGGTCACACAAACAGGATCTATTTTTTAATACAGGATTCTGGGTTCCTGAAGGAGTATTTGTGGTTAATCTGGAGAAGGGCAATCCATGAAATGAGTCTATAAGTCTCAACTAAAGTCACTGTCATTTGGGATGCCTGGCTAGCTGAGCTGGAGGAGCAGTCGACTCTTGATCTCGGATTTGAGCCCCATACTGGGTGCAGAGATTACTTAAAATAAATAAAATAAAAATAAAATACAATCACAGTCATATGATTTGAGAACATACACATTTAAGAATTCACAGCTGCACCCCTCATAAAATGTGCTCCTGCATCAGATTTGTAATAATCTTTTCTCTGAGGAGTGATCAACAAGGACTAGACCAATTTAAAGTCAAAGAAGATGAGTTCTTTTCATAACATATATCAAGTCACCATGATGTACACTTGAAATACTTTGGAATTTTATGTCAACTATACCTCAATAAAGCTGAAATTTAAATTTTTTTTAAAAACAGGGAGATGATTACTAACCAGGTCCAATGCCAACCAGAATAATGCAACTCACCTCGTCAATAAACAGCCGGACCTGGTCCCCCACTCTCAGACTGCCGTAGATGGTGCCTATGTGCAACACATACCCTCCTCGCACCTGAGCGTTCTTCACTGTGAATTCCATTTTCTAAGAGCAGTCCAGGAGAACATGTAAATAAATCCAACATATATATATACACGCGCATACATATATATCTTTATATATGTTACATATTTTCTAAGCCCTTCCTTACTAATGTGTGTATATGCCATTATACATACTTTATACTATTAATACCACTATATGTATTGTATATATGCACACAGACACCATTATCCACTGAAAACAAATAAAAAGCAACCACACTAAAGTGAAGCCCGGTGGCTAGAAGCAGAGGCTGGAACAGGAACAGTAGTTCATTTCAGAAAGAACTGTCAATTACAGAACCAAACCATCAAGTACAGGCCCTAACAAGAAAAGATGCAGATGGATCTCCTAGGAGAAATCAATTACTCCTCCAACTCTGCCAACAAGAAACCATCATCACCCCAAACTTGTGATTTTCTCCAATGGACTTTCCTTTAAAACAACCCCTCCCAATTTCCTCCTCCTCCTCCTCCATAAAATATCAGTTCCTCTCCTTCCTTTGTTGGACTTGCCTATGGTTTTGCCATAGCTTACATGTCCCACACTGCAATTCTCTGCTATTTCCCAATAAACTCACTCTTCCTGGTAAAATAACATGTTCATTTTTAAGGTTTAACCATACCTTATTTACCATTAAATATATAGACCACTTTATATGTGCACAAATATATGTGTATATATACACAGATGCTAAGGAGCATCTTAGAGAATTTAAAGCCACCAGGAGGAACCTGATGCCCATGAGATGAGGTAACTCATCTAAGATCACAGAGTCAACAGTGGCAGAGCTAGAGGCTGGGGCTTCTGCAACGAAGTCTGCTCTCCAGAGAGCTACCTTTTCTTCTTCATGAGGAAAGCCTGGAGGAACCCAGGATCAACTGATGCAACCTGACTGCAAGGATCCTGCTAAGAGGGACTTAATGGCAACTGAATCAGTGGTACAAGAGGCAACTCACTTGGCCTCAGAAACACTAATAATGAACCACACCAAAAGATCAGTTATGTCTGCTCCCCAAGGCCAGGAGTGTGAGGAGCCAGAAAAGCTACCCCAGTCCAGGCCCAGCCCTCAGCTGGATGCCCCATCCCTGGCCAGCAAGGATGAACAGTTGGCTCACATCTTCACTGTTGTCCTCAACCTTCACCAGGTAGCCTTCATCATAGATCTGCCCTCCTTGCTCAGCATAGAAACAGGTCTTATCCAGCACCACTCCACACTCCTGGCCTGTGGACACTTCTTCCACGAACATCTTATCCCTGCGCAGAGCCACCACTGTGGCCACTACGTTCTCAAATGCTGCAGAGAAGGGGAAAAACAGAGTCAATGACTTCATCACACATTCTTGTCTTTTGCTGGATTCTCTTTGGTCCTTAGGTTCTAACTGTCTAATTTTATTTTACAAGCAAGACCATTAGACTCAACAAAAGGGCTTAGTACCAGGGAATGTAACACTCAGTAGAGTGACCCAACTGTCATAGCTTGCTTGGGACTGGGGGGTTTTCCAGGTGAAACTTTCACATCACTGGGGCAGTTCCAGTCACTCTATCTCTGAGCTACTGAACAGGAACCCAGCAAATCTGGTTAAGTATTTAGAAGCAGTAATAAATTCCCTACTCCCAAGGTCAATTCACAAAGAATTTATTCATTTTATGGGCTTGCTTGGATAGATTTAGGGATCTCTGACAGAACAAAAGTAAAAACATGCATTGCCTGTTTCTTTCTTTTGATGCTTAACTTTAGAATGCCACTATTCTATTCCATTTGTTCATTTATTCATTTAATTAATTTCTGCAGGGCTTTAACTCAAGACCCCAAGATTAAAAGTCACATGATCTACCAACTGAACCAGCCAGGAACCCCTAGAATGCAGCTACCCTTGATGCAAAATTCAACAGCCACTGATGATTGTATCATTGCCCATTTCCTGGTTTCCTGAAAGGTGTTATAGTTAGGGGAAACTAGGTAAAGAGTATGAGGACTGTCCTATGAATCTATAATTATTCCCAAATAAAGAGTTAAAAAATTAATTGCCATGGGTCTCTGGGAGTATGAAATTGCAGAGCATGACTCTAGTACTACAGGAGAGGCAGGAGAGGCTCTGATAAATACCCTAAGTTCCTAATCTTGAGACTCAACAAAGGTACACGCAGTAACACAGGGACGTACTATAACTCCCACTGGAGTCCGAATGGTAATTATACTTTGGGGAATCCTCTGTTGCTTCCAGACCCTTCTCCCGGAGCTCTTCTATAGCATAGATGTCCAGCATAATGAGGTCTTCCCCGCCAGCTCCTTTGCCCTGTGATTTCAGCTGCCAGTAAGAGAAAATAAACAGAAGTTACCCTAATGTGGGAAAAAGAATTCTGAGATTCTAATTCAAATTGCTAAACTATGCCCAATATAAAGCTCTAGAACAGTTTTTCAATCTTAGCACTACTGACATTTAGGGCCAGGTAATTCTTTGTTCTGGGTGGCTGTCCACTGTAGGTTACTGAGCAGTCCTGGACTTCTAACCACTTGATGCTAGTAGCATCCTACCCTCAGCTGTAGAAACCACAAAGTGTCCTCACACATTATTGACAAATATCCTCTGAGCCGAAAGTGCTCTCGTTTGACACTCACTGGTCTTGGGAAAAATACAATTTCAAAGACTTTAATGGAAGGAAACTCTTGTTCTTTGTAGCCAAGTCCTGCCTTGTTTGGTGCTGGGTTTCCTGCTCACTCCCCAAATTCTTTACCTGGGCCAGTTTCCTCTCCTCTTCAAATCCATCCATATCTACCACCATGCCTTTCTCTTCAGCAATCAGTCCAGTGAGATCCACTGGAAACCCATAGGTGTCATAGAGGAGCCAAGCAGTGTCCCCTGGAGCACAAAGGGAACTGTGTAAGATTGACACGACAGCCCCACCCTTTCCAAAGGAAGCTGGCAGTGACAGAAGGAACTGGAGACAAAGCAAGTTAGTATTGATTCTGTTCACTTGTCAGAAAATCTATCAAATCCTTCAGAATTGACCTGGAGGAAGTACAGGAGGTCTCCTGGTAAAGTTGTTTCTTAATCTGAACATGAGTGTACTCAGTTTGTGGAAATTCATCATGCTTTCCCCTTGTACCTTATGCTGCAATAAAAAGTCAAAAATATTTTTTTTTGGAGTTTTCCAGTCTAGTAAAAAAAAAAAAAAAAAAAGACAAGTTGCAGAATAGTATATATGTTCCCCTTTTGCTGGAAAACACACACATATGCCCCTACATACATGTGTATGCAAATAGAGAAAAGCCCTGAATAGTTATACAACAATAGGTAAGAACTGTTACCTCTGAAAAATGAGTTTAGGAAGGAGAATTTTCATTTTTTACTTCTGTGTTATTTAAACACTTTGCCACAATAACGTATTACTTTTATAATTTTATGATAAACCCAATTTTATAGTAAAAGCCATATAACCAAGCTATCTTTAGCCCTTGGAGACACGGGACTCCAGTCATTTTTGAAAAAGGGCTTGCCTCTTCTGGACAGAAGAACCAGCCTGGAATAAAATGGGTCCTTACCAGGAATGGTATTACAGTCTCCCAGGCTCTGAATTTTCCTATCGAGGATGCGGCGCCCTCTGCTGAGAGTCTTGAGAAATTGCACTTCTTCTTCATTAATGATGTCCTTTACCATATCTGGGTCTTTCTTCAGCTCAGGAAATGCATCTCCCTGGCAAAGGGGAAGCAGAGATGTGGGCTCAATAAGGACAGGGTCCATTCCGTGACCCCCCTGAAAACTCTCATTAACAGTATGCTAACTCCCACCTCATCCCTCTAAGCTCTGTGCATTAGCAGAACACAGTTAAGCAGGGAGGTACACCTACCAAGGACTGGACGACAACATCTACTAATGTGGCAAAGAACCCTCTGCTGGCATTGAGTTTCTCATGGGAATATCGAACAGCCCGGCGGAGAATCCGTCTCAACACATACCTGAAAAATGCAGAAAACTTTCTGCTGTAGGCAACTTTCCAAGGTAAGCATTTGGTAATTCTAATTCGGGGCTTTTAGAATTCTACCCAAAGCAACAGGACTGTTTTTTTTTTTTTTTTTTAAGATTTTATTTATTTTAAAAAAAAGATTTTATTTATTTATTCATAGAGACACAGAGAGACACAGAGAGAGAGAGAGAAAGAGAGAGAGAGAGAGAGAGGCAGAGACACAGGCAGAGAAGCAGGCTCCATGCAGAGAGCCTGACATGGGACTCGATCCAGGGTCTCCAGGATAACGCCCCGAGCTGCAGGCGGCGCTAAACCGCTGCGCCACCAGGGATGCCCTGACTAGTTTTTTCTTTCAGAGACTTTCTTTGACCCTAAGACTGCTTTTCGTGTGTCCCTGAGGTCATTAATTCCAGCAGAAAACTCAGGGATATACCCACAAATATGCATCAAAGATAACTTTGCTTTGTTTTTCTACCACATTCTGCTGATCCAGAGATGGAGGCAGGTATAGCCCAGATGGCTGATGCCCCAAATCCCAGGTACTGCCCGTCAGTAATAAAATTGCCTGGGGCTAATCAGTATCTATCCCTTCCCTCCTTGCCAATATCCTACTGGACAACCTAAAATACAATCTGTATCCTATCTTGTACTTAGCAGCAAAGATTTAATATAGTGGCAACTCTGTAACACGACCTAAAACTCTCTTAAATCCCTTAAAAAATAAATAAATAGAGGGATTCCTCCAACTACCTAAGACAAATAAAAGAATAAAGAATGGCTTTAAGTTCCATGGAGACTAACAAACTCAGTGGCAATCCTAACACCATGCCATGTATAACAAACATACTTACCCCCGTCCTGTGTTGTCAGGTCGGCCACCATCGGCCAGTGCCACGGTGATGGTCCGGGCATGGTCAGCCAGTACCCGATAGGCCATATCAATCCCATCAGCATCATCAGCACCAACTTTCCCAGTGTATGGCCGGGCACCTGTGCCCTACAGATAAAAACCAGGAGGAAGCTCTTTAGGAAGTAGCCCTTCTGGCATGGCCTTGCTCTGGAGGTTCCAAGAGGACTGAGTGAACATAGAGGAAAGGATGACCCTCTTGCCAGATCTTTTAACACCAAGAAAGGTGACAGCAGGGGTAAAGAGCCTCTAGCCATGCCCCTGCACTCAACAAACTACAGCGACTTGTGCTAGAACCTCTGAGGTCATTAACAATTAAAGTGACAGATGGTCACAGGTACTCTTAGCTGGCAAAGATATTATGTTATCTCTGACAGTACTGCTAAGAGTCCCACCTAGAAACCTCCACAGAAGTCTGCAATGTTTACAATAGGACCAGTACCTTCTGAATGGCTTCAAAGTAAGGAACAAAAAGGTCAGTGTCATAGTTGGACATCTTATTTTGCAGTACAGACACCAGTCGCTCCAGGCCCATCCCTGTGTCAATGCTTTTCTTAGGAAGAGGCTTCAAAATGCCATCGCTTTCCCTGCAAGATCCAGAGAAAGAGGAAATTGAAATTACTCTGGGTGCTACCTCTCCCCACTGGTTAAAACTCACTTATATAGCACAGGTTGCAGGCTCTATTTGCCATTTGCCTGTCTGGTTTGGTGGGAGGGAGGGGAGTGGAGGGGAAAAAGGAAGTAGTACTCTGGGGCCTATTACAGAGTGAGGCAAGGGGTGCCTGGGTGGCTCCACTGGTTAAGTATCTGCCTTCAGCCCAGGTCATGGTCTCAGGGTCCTGGGGCAGAGTCCTGCATCAGGTTCCCTGATCAGTTGGGAGTCTGCTTCTCCCTCTCCCTCTGCCCCTGCTCATGACTTGTGTGGTCTCCCTCTCACTTTCTTTCTCTCTTCCTCAAATAAATAAAATCTCAAAATAAAAAGTGAGGCAAGCCTCAAGCTAATGAGCTTTAAAATTGTAGTCCATAGGGATGCCTGGGGGGATCCACTGGTTAAGCGTCCAACACTTGGTTTGGACTCAGGTCACTATCTCATAGTTGTGGGATCGAGCCCCACATCATGCTCTGCGCTCAGTCCAGAGTCTGCTTCAGATTCTCTCTCCCTCTCTCTCCTACCTACTCTGTCTCTGTCAAATAAATAAAATCTTAAAAAAAAAAAAATCGAATCAAATCACAGTCCAAATTACTGCAAAAATGACATTATAGGAATAGTCTTGAAGTGAGTACTATGTGGAATAAAAGTAATTAACAAAAGATTAAATCCAAAAAAAAATAAAAATAAAAATAATAAAAAAACAAAAGATTAAATCCAACCATGTCCCAGAGATCAGAGGGAAAACCTGAGAAATAAAATCTAAATATTGTCCACAAGATCCCCTGATGCCTTTAGTGCCTTCTATAGCTCCACTCCACTGTCCCCAAAGATGAGGATGAGAAGACAGCCTTGTGTTGCATTCCTCTTTCTCTACTTGGCTTAAGGTGCTGCTATTAGCACGAAAACAGTTCAGGACCCCACGGCCACCTGTTATACTGGATAAACACAAGGTTCCAAATCTCCAGCACATTGGGGTCATCCTGGTTGACGAGGTGTGCAGCATCCCGGCCACCAATCCGGTCATAGTGGATCTCACTGCAGGGACCACACGGGCCCGTGTCACCCATCTCCCAGAAGTTATCCTTCATGTTGCCAGGGAGGATTTTGGTGTCATCCAGCCTGCACAGGGTAGGGAAGACAAGCCCAGTTATAGCTATTGACAAGATTCTTGCCCAGACTTGCATCCACCACAAAAGGAAATTCTTATGCATTTCCAGCTTTTAAAAAGATAAAGTTAAAAAATGACTAAGCGATGACTATAATAGAATACAAAATATACATAAGGGGCTACATTCTTAAACTAAATAAAAATGGGCAAAGATAGAGATTGAGCCTAGAAAACACATAAAAATGAAAACACCTATGCTCAATAGGACCAGAATTTAAGCAAACACCTTCTTTGCAAATGTTCTTTCATTTTAAAAATGGAAACAGGGCAGCCCCGGTGGTGCAGTGGTTTAGTGCTGCCTACAGCCCAGGGTGTGATCCTGGGGACCCGGGACTGAATCCCACGTCGGGCTCCCTGAGTGGAGCCTGCTTCTCCCTCTGCCTGTGTCTCTGCCTCTCTCTCTCTGTCTCTCTCATGAATAAATAAATAAAATCTTAAAAAAAAAATAAAACAAAACATTTAAAAATGGAAACAGCATAAGCATTAAAACACCTACTGAGTATTTCAAGTCACTTCTCTATGCCCCAATTTAGTCCAGTGTTTCGCCTTAAAATACCAAAAGGAATTTAATAAGATTAAAATTATTTTAAAAATATTGGACTCTGCTGAGAACTGCTAGGTAATACAACACTCAAAAGAGATTGAGCATACTGGATAAACAGAGTCGAGATATACACAAGCCAAGCAAAACAGGATTCCTAAGCCAAGAGTACTATTTAAGGTTTACATGCATTACTGCCCAAAATGTCCAAGTACATGTAGACCACAGAATCTAACCAAGTAGGGGTTTCAGACCAGGTACCAGGGGAAGCTGGACTGGAATAATATTCCTGGAGTAAAAGTAATTAATTAATACATGAATGAATGAAACTGAGAAACTGTGCTAAGTGTGGTAAAAAGCTATGCTTTTCTAAGAGTGAAAAGAGTAAGAAAATGAGTAGGGCACCTAGGCGGCTCAGTCAGTTAAGCATCTGCCTTTGGCTCAGGTCATGATCTCAGGGTCATGCCCCCTTCCTGCTCCTTGCTCATCATGGAGTCTGCTTGGGATTCTCTTTCTCCCTCTCCCTCTGCCTCTCCCCTTACTCACACTCTGTCTCTTTCTCAAATAAATGGATCTTAAAAAAATAAAATAAAAAAGGCCAAGGAATGCACTAAAGGATATTGCACCCAGTCACTTCCACCTCCATCTCAAAACGTATAGCCCAAAACAAGAAATGGCAATGCACTCCAAACTCTAATACCCCACTATGGCACCAAGTTAGAAATCCCTTTATTCCTCCACACTCAACATGTGAGATACATTCTTACCCTAAGTTTTGCCAGATCTGTTTGCACTCCAGGTCTGGTTCTAAACCAGCTGCTTCATCCCCACCAAAGTAAGTAACATAAAGTCTCTCAACTGGAATACCAAACTCTTGGGTGAGAAGCTCGAGAGCCATCTTACATGCCAATTCCTATAAAAAGACAAAAAAAGAAAGAACGTGGAATGTGACCAAGCCAAAATCTATTTAGTATGAGTAGAAAACGCCCAGATCCTAGGAACACAAATATAAAACTGCAACATCTTCACTATCAACCCAGCCAAATAAATTCAGGATCAATTTATACAAGACCTCCAAAATGTAACCTGAAAACATCAAGTGAAAGGTACTACTTTCAGGAAGTCTTAGTATTAATAAATATCCTTCTTTCCTGAATCTCCTAGATGATACTTCCTATTTTATAACAAGCAAAATTGGAATCCATTTCCTTCAGTGGAGAGGATCATTTTGCTCAAAACCCCAAAGGAATCTTCTCTTTGAGCTTACCTTGAAGTAATCTCCAAAAGACCAGGAGCCCAACATCTCAAAGAAGGTGTGATGATAGACATCCTTGCCAACGTCATCTAGATCATTGTGTTTGCCCCCAGCCCGGATGCATTTCTGGGTATTGGCAGCTCTGCTCAGCTTTGCCATAGGGTGAGATGGGTCAATAGTGTTCAGAAAGATGGGTTTGAACTAAAAAAAAAGGGAACATTTCAACTTTTAAGGAGATGCAAATCTATCAGGTGGTCACATGCTGGCAGGAAAAGACTACACATAAACTGTTCGGTTTGTGATTTAATTAGCCTGGAATACAGAAACTTGGGAAGTAGGCAGCCTGATGGAGCCACAGCAGAGGCATCCTATCTTGGAGCAGCTTCTCCCTGGTCCTAGTTCTCTCACAGTCCCCACCACTGCCAGTAACACCACCTATACAAGGGGAAGGCCTGCTGGATCTGTGCTAACAGCCAGAGGTTGATGTAGTGAAACTCACGCTTCCTCATAAGTCTCCGGTGGTCAGGGCTTAGAACACCTTTCTGGAAGAACTTATTCTAAAAGTGATAGGGATCCCTGGGTGGCGCAGCGGTTCAGTGCCTGCCTTTGGCCCAGGGCGCGATCCTGGAGACCTGGGACTGAGTCCCGCGTCGGGCTCCCGGTGCATGGAGCCTGCTTCTCCCTCTGCTGTGTCTCTGCCTCTCTCTCTCTCTGTGTGACTATCATAAATAAATAAAAAAATTTAAAATAAATAAATAAATATATTTTAAAAAATAAAATAAAAAAAATAAAAATAAAAGTGATATGTGGGAAATCCCTGGGTGGCTCAGCGATTTAGTGCCTGCCTACGGCCCAGGGTGTGATCCTGGAGTCCCAGGATCAAGTCCTGCATCAGGCTCACTGGCTGGCTCAGTCGGTAGAACAAGTGACTCTTGATTGAGGTTAGAGTTGACTTAAAAGGAAAATAAATAAAATAATTTTTAGGGAGATCCCCGGGTGGCTCAGCGGTTCAGCGCCTGCCTTCGGCCCAGGGCATGATCCTGGAGTCCCGGGATCGAGTCACGCTGTCGGGCTCCCTGCATGGAGCCTGTTTCTCCCTCTGCCTGTGTCTCTGCCTCTCTCTCTCCTCTCTCTGTGTCTCTCATAAATAAATAAAATCTTAAAAAAAAATTTTTTTTAAACTGATGTAGTGGCTTCATGGTAAAGGTGATAAGGAAGAAAAGAAACTGAGACCTATTAAGGGAGTAAAATCAGCACAACTTGGCAAATGACTTGTAGAAAGAAGGTATTATTTTGCTCTCAGGATTTATCAACTTAGACTTTGATGTATCATTGTTATGTAACTTTGCTTTATTTTCCCACTAGACCTGTCCAATTTGGTAACCACTAGTCACTTGTGATTTGTAAAATTAATTAAAATGAAATTGTTAGTAATTAATTAAAAATATTTAAAAACAAAAAATTCAGTTCCTCACTCACACCAGCTCAATAATCATGCATGGGGTTGGGGTGTGCCTAGCTGGCTCAACTGGTGGAGCATGCAACTCTGATCTGGGGGTTGTAAGTTCGAGTCCCACACCAAGTGTAGAGATTACTTTAAAAAATTAATTAATTTTTAAAATCTAAAAAAGGAGAAAAAAAACCATACATGGCTGGTAGTTGCCATATTGGGCAACCCAGCTATAGAACATTACTATCACTGCAGAAAGTTCCATTGGACAATTCTTTCTTTTTCCTTTAAAGATTTTATTTATTCATGAGAAACAGAAAGAAAGAGAAAGAGAGAGAGCAAGAGAGAGGCAGAGACACAGGCAGAGGGAGAAGCAGGCTCCATGCAGGGAGCCAGACTTGGGACTCCATCCCAGGTCTCCAGGATCAGGCCTGGGCTGAAGGCGGCGCTAAGCCGCTGAGCCACCTGGGGTGCCCTCTATTGGACAGTTATGAACTAGACCATGAACTCCTTAAAAGCAAAAACTCTACTACTTATCTTTGTGTATCTAGCACCTGGCATAGTACCTAAAAAAGGGCAGATGCCTAATAAATACTATTTTAAAAATGTTTTTAAAAAAGGGGGGGGGGAGCAAAACCCCATCAAGGTATTTCTGATTAAGAGGCAGTATAGCACAAAAGTTAAGCAAATGACTACCTGGGGTTCAAAACCACACTCCAGCATTCACCAGCTATGTTAGGTTGGGCAGTTTACTTGAGCTGTCAGTGCTTCAGTACAGAGTGAGGATGAAATGAGTCAGCATACGTACAGGACATAGAAGAGTGCCTAGCACATCATAGTAAGCGCTACATACAACAGTCTAATAATTACTATTATTCAGAGTACATTAGAACACTGGACTCCCACGGTTCTCCTACCTAGTCGGCGCATGTGGGAGAAGACAAACCCATGCCTAGGAATGCCTCACTAAAATAGAACTTTTCCAGTGTTCCAGAAAACCCATCACCTTCCAAGTCCACATAAAATTAGTGCCCCCTATTCCAGGTTTATACAAAGGACTTATACATATCACTGAAAACATATGTATGATTTCACAGTTACTGTTATTACAAAAGATGGAAAATGTTCCCCCCACTGCTTTTAATTTTCTATGCCAGGAAAAGAAAAGAAAATGTCAACTTATCACTTAGTGCAAAGTGAGCCACATTCTAAGAGCCAGTGGGTTCACTAGGCTAAGCCGGGCTCCAAGAGAACCACCAAAGGAAAACCCTGAGGGGACTATGTAACCTGAATCCACTTCCAGTCCACAGTCAGCCTGACAAACAGTTTTCAATATCACAACAAAACTTTCAAGTTATCTGTTATAGTTCAACTGCTCCAAACATAAATCCTACTAATAAAGTTTCTACAGCAGTAGATCCAAATTGGTATTGGGGACAGTAGCTTTAAGAGTTTAAAAAAAAAAAAATCAATAGAGGCACCTAGGTGGTTGAGTCTGTTAGGCGTCTGACTCTTGATTTTGGCTCAAGTCATGGTCTCAGGGTCATGGGATTGAGCCCACATGGGGCTTTGAGCTGAATGGAAGAGTCAGCCTGAATTCTTCCCTCCTTTCCCTCTGCCCCTCCACCCCCACAACCCTACATGTGCATGCTCTTTCTAAATAAATAAATCTTAAAAAAATTAAAAACAAAATTTTTAAAGTCAACAAAGCTGCATGGCTCAGAATGGAAATGAAAGCAGAGCTTTGGGCAGCCCCGGTGGCACAGCGGTTTGGCACCACCTGCAGCCTGGGGTGTGATCCTGGAGACCCGGGATCGAGTCCCACATTGGGCTCCCTGCGTGGAGCCTGCTTCTCCCTCTGTCTGTGTCCCTGCCCCTCTCTGTGTCTATGAATAAATAAATCTTTAAAAAAAAAAAAAGAAAAGAAAGCAGAGCTTTGAAAGAATCTTGAAGAACTCATTAATTTTATAAAGGAAAAAACAAGGGGAGGGAGGTATGCCTTGCTGGTTCAGTCCATTAAGCACCTGCCTTTGGCTAAGGTCATGATCCCGGGGTCCTGGGATCCCTGCTTCTCCTCCTCCTGCTTGCCCCCTCTGCTGTGCACTCTCTCTCAAATAAATAAATAAAATCTTTAACAAAAAAAAAAGGAAGAAAGAGAAAAAAGAAAAAAAAAAACAAGGATAATTAAGAGTTGAAGGAAATCACGAAAGTGGAATTAATAGGTCTCTTCATGGCTCAGCAAGATTAACCTAGCCAATGACTAATAAAACAGTTCTTTACTTAGAAGAAAACACAAACCAGGGGCACCTGGCTGGCTCACTAGGTAGGGAATGTGTCTCTTGATCTCGGGGTCTTGAGTTCAAACTCCACCTTGGGCAGAGAGCTTACTTAAAAAATAAATATAATATTAAAAAAATTTTAAGAAAAAGGTAAAAACCCTTACCTGGTTCATGCCCGCATTGGCAAAAAGCAAAGTGGGATCATCCAATGGGATGGTGGCAGATGAGTGAACATAGGTGTGCTCATTTCTCTTGAAGAAATCTATAAATCGCTGCCGGATTTCACTTGCTGTTAGGGTCGAGTCCATCTTGAAAGTAGCCCTATGGAACTAATCAGAGAAAAATGAAGGAAAATTAGAGGAACTGCGACTAAGAGATAAGTAGGTATTACACAAGACTCCTGGCTCCACAGGCCAAGTCAAAGCAGGGCACTGGTAATCTGTTTGATCCTAAAACCTCTATGTTGTAACATCTGAGGCTAAAATCATCATTGAAGCAAAATTTGCTGCACACAGCAGCCAACAGCCCCACATGTTCTTCTTTCCCATGCCAACCTGAATAGTTTCAATACACCAAGACATCAAGTAGAGCAGGAGCATTTTCTTCCTGTATTCACTTATTCCAAATATGAAGATGTGTAATGCATCCTCTGTGCCATGGCCTATGCCAGGAATTAAGAAATGGGAATAAAAATCTCATGGTTTACAGTCCAGCAGAGAAGCCTACTAGGGATGGGGGGGATGTTCAGGAGACCTGGGTTCCAGTCCTAGCTATAAAAGCTTAATGGAGTTACTTCACTTCACCAACAAATGGAGGGGTCCTTATGAGATGAACTCTAAAGCCCCTTTCAGCTCCGTGCTCATCTACATGCCTAGATCATGCAAAGTCCCATTATCCCTAAAGCCAGGGTCTCTAGGTTTGGCCTGTCTTTGGGAGGCTGCTGTCAACAGCAGAGAACCTGGGGCCTCGCTATACAAGGAACTGCCTGCAAGTAGGACTATACCTGCCTCCACCTAGCCTAAGCACCCCCAGAACAACTGGCAGACTGCCAGTTAGATTCCTAGGGGGTGAGGATGTTGCAGCCACACTAAGGAGGTAGAGCTCAGAGTCAGTAAAAGAGAAAGGGAATCGGAAGAGAGAGAAATTAGAAAACAAGTTGACAATTTCAAAGCTCTTTCTCATCTATTATGATTTTCCTGAGAGGCAGGTTGTGGAAAAGTAACAGCCCTTGGTGGAGGATCCCAATCACTGGCATGGAGCTGTCATGGCATGCAGCACTCGGCATCTGGAAAAATGGGAACCATCTGGCTGACATTAGTCTCTAGAATTCTAGACCCAACTCTAACCTTAAATAAGTGACTTTGTCCCCAATATGTTTCTTTTGGTAAAAAAGTAGTATCTACTCTGCCCAGGTGTTGTGAGACTCAAAATCTATCCAATATTTGGAAGCAATCCGTAAAGTGGAAAGCCCTAAAGGAACATGGATGGATGCTATTACTTTAGGTCACTTAGTGCCAAGTTTTTTCCCCCTTCTTCTAAGGAAGATAAAGACGTACATAGTGAACAAGGGACTCTGATTCAGATTTATCCTTAAATCTGAATCCACAATTTTCCACAATTTCAAACAATTTATTCACAATTCAATCAACTCATTACTCCAATAAAGCCCTTCGGGCAAAAAGATGGTGAAACTGGCTGAAAGAGACAAAGAAAGGACTAAAACTCCCACAGATAAGGACTTTTATATCCATAAGGAGCCAAGGCTAGGATTTTTAGAAACTTTGCCACACCACATTCCTCCTCATCCCTTCTCATCGTGGCACTCACTGAGTCTTAACAGTGGCAAAAATAAATATACAGTGCCAATTCTGACTGAGCAACATCACAGCAGTTTCAAAATTTTCATTGCTCCTCCTCTAAGCGGGCTGAGGTATATCAGCTGTATTCCAAAAGACACATAAATGTCCCATTTTGCTTATTCATTCAACATATGTAAATGCACACTGTGCTGGGAACCAATATGAATGAGGCTATGCCCTCAACAGAGTAACATTCATACAGAAAGAACTGCGAAATGTATGACATAAGGATCCAATATATTGACAATAAGCCCTACAGAGCCAAGGACTCTTAAAAGCCATGTCACCATCACAAATTCATTTATTCAATATATACTGGAAGGCTGTCTATATTGTATATGCACTGGAAGGTTGGGATAAAGGATGGTCCTCAGAGTCCACTTCCCAGCAGAGGCTATAAAGGTCTTGAGTACCCTTAACCACACTGGCCTTTGGGTTTAAGGCTCCAGCCACAGATCTTCCAAAGCGCTCATTTGCCAAGTAAGCTGTCTACCCTACTCCACTTTTTCCCATTCCCTAGAATTCCTCAATTGTGATAGATCAATTCCAAAGAGACCTATTTAAGGAAGCTTTCTCTCTCCTTGACGAGATCCTATTTTTATTCTCGTAGCTCCAGGCGTCTTCCTTCATACCTTCCACACGCATTGGACTGCTTGTTCAATGTCCATCTTCCCATCAGGGGTACATCCTCAACATCTAGTACAACCACTGCTAAATAAGTATTTCAGGATTAGGTATGATCCTTTAACAGCGAATAGTTAAGGGAATTTAAAGCACACGGGAAAATGCAGGCTCTTTTGGAAGTAACAGCTGAACATGATGGGGCACAGAAAGTGCTTCCAGATGAACCTGAACCAGCGTCAGCTACTTCACTAGTTTTAAGAATTTAGGAAATGGCTCAGAGGGAATTCCACCCATCTAGACCACCCTTGCACCACCCACCCCACCCCACCTCCTCGTCCGTCCCTAGGGGATTAAAACCGGGGGAGAGAAAACCACAGCTCTGGGCGCGTAGTCAATGGCAATCGTGATCCTCGCGAAGTCTAGGTCCTCGGCAAGGCCGCCCGAGGCCACTCCGTCCCCGGCGCTCCCGGCTCCAGAGGCCTCGTGGGGCCGGGCCCCCGGAGACCGCTGCGGCGGCCCCGCTTTCAGGCCCGACCCGGCCGCTCCAGCGGCGTCGCAAAACTCTCGGAGGCCCTTCGGCTTCTCCCGAGGGTCGCCGTCCCTGACTCCTCCCTCACAGCCCACCGCCCGGAGCCCGCGCATACCTGCTCCCTCAGACGCTCCGCGGCACGGGCCCGGAGCCACGACAGACAGAAACCCGCACAGCCCCGCCCAATGACGCGCGCGGATGGAAAGAGCCCCGCCCAGCCTTTCAGTCCCGAGAACTTTATTGATCAACCCACCTGCCAATCAATCCCGGGAACGAATCAGCCTATGAGTCGGTTTCCAGGAAGGCGGCCCTAAGCCGGCTGACGCAATGGCCGGGAAAACGAGGGTCGGGATACGTCACGTGACCGGCGAGGTTGCGGACTTCTGGAGGTAGACATTTTGGTTTGCCAAGTGGTTAATAGTTGACCTGGTTAATAAGTGTAACCGGCGACGTGTGTTTGGCAGAGGTCACAGCTCTTGTTATATGCGGTTCTGTTCGTTTTAGTTGCAGGATGGTTCGCGGAATTCAGAGATTGATTTGTTGTGGCCATGGTTACCCTTGTCTTTGTCAGACCTTCTTGGATTTGGTCAAGTGGAAGAAATGACTTACCCGAAGAGGGACAATTGGGTTGACATCTGGTCCTCGATTTGCCTTTGAGAAATAGTAGTAAGTATTTATATGCGAGGCATTGCATTTCACATGGCTTATTTCATTTAATTTTTAAACTGCATATGAGGCAGGTCAACTGGCATCTTTTTTTTTTTTTTTTAAGATTTTATTTATTTATTCATGAGAGAGGCAGAGGGAGAAGCAGGCTACCTGCGAGGAGCCTATGTGGGACTCAGTCCCAGGACCCTGGGATCACAACCTGAGCCAAAGGGGTGACGGGCAATGAGGGGGGCACTTGACGGGATGAGCACTGGGTGTTATTCTGTATGTTGGCAAATTGAACACCAATAAAAAATAAATTTATTATTAAAAAAAAAAACCAACAACCTGAGCCAAAGGCAGATGCTCAACCACTGAGCCACCCAGGCGCCTTGGCATCTCTTTTTACGGATGAGGTAACTGCCTTGCCCAAGCTCACGTGGAAGAGTACGTTGCAGAGCTGTGATCCAACCTCATGCCTTTTTAACTCCAAAGCCATACTTTTTTTTTTTTTTAAAATAAACTCTACCCCAATGTAGAACTCAGCTACCTTGAGATCAAGAGTCACATGCTCTATCCGCTGAGCCAGCCAGGGGCCTCTAAAACCCATACTCAAACCTGTACACCATTATCTCCATGAATTCATATATCCAAACATATGGCTATAAAATTGTGTTACTAGTCTTTTTTTTTTTTGTGCTACTAGTCTTAACTGAGTTAAAGATACTGCAGAAATATTTTACTTTTATATGTACAAGAGCATCCTATATATAAAGGTCAAGCTCAAAAGCCGGTAAAAAAAGAAAGGAAAGGAAAGGGAAAAGGGAAAAGGGGAAGAAAGAAAGAAAAGAAAGAAAAGAAAGAAAAAGAAAGAAAGAAAGAAAGAGAAAGAATCACTTGAACTAACTTCTCAGTTCACCCCAACTCATTAATCATCATCCCACCTAACATTTGTTGAATACTTAGTATGCAGACTGCACTGATCTAAGCTTTTGATCTGATCTTCACAACAATCCCATAATGAGTTCCTAATATTACCTGCTTTTAACATCTAAGAAAACTGAGGCACTCAGGTTAAGTCAGCAAAGGACGAAGCAAAGAAAGACCAGTGTTTGTTCTGATCCAAATTGGCCCCAACTAGCACATTTAGCCTAAACAATCCAAGAAACGGGTCAGACTCCTGTGCCACAACTAAAATAAAAAGCCAAGATTGTACAAATTGTATTTTCAAAATAAAGTAATGCTGGTTGTAGTCTCAATAACTTTATTATGTTGCCAGAGTTGTCACCATTAGCATAGCACCTTCACTAATGAAAGAATTAGAGACCTATTTACCTTTTTTCATTCACCCAATGACTGGGTCAATACACATGAAGAGAAATTGTTGAGGCCCAAATGTCACATCCTTCTAAACATTCTATTTGAATAATTGATAATTACCCAGTTCTCTATGATATGTTTCTCTTGTAGATAAGGTTGACTATATAATAAAAGGAAAGCTATTTTAATACAACATGCAAACTGTATATTTCAGGAAAGTTATTTATTCTGGGCTAAGCCTATAAGCCTGCTGGTAAGAGTAAGTGCTGTACACATGGCTTACTCTGAAGTAGAACACTGGTTGAACCTCTTGGGACATGAGGAAGATAACAGAGTTCAAGATAGTACAACTTACTTAGTTTTGGAAATATGTAGTCCTAGATCCTAATTCTCCCATGGCACCTAAAATATTTTTATCATCTATAAAATGGACTTAGATCTTTCATTTATTTGCTATCAGGTCAAATGAGAGTGATTGAATAGTTTTCAGACCATAAGTTTTTAAGGAATCACCTGGTATCCTAAAATACAGATCCTGATTTAGTAGGTATAGGAATGAGGCCTGAGACTGCATTCCGATAGGCTCCCATAGGTGCTGATATCTATGCTGCTGCTGCTGCTGCAGCTGCTGGAAGATCACACCTGGAGTAGCAAAGGGCATAAACTAGGAATGAAATTCTTCACCTATGTTCAAGGATATAGATTTAAAAGTTTGACATATTTGGGGGATGTCCATTCCTCATCTAGTCATTCACCAAATGGGTATCCATTATGCATTCGTCTCTGAAGATCAATATTAAGGAAAGCAGACAATGCCCTGCCCTCACGAAGCTTCCAGTCTAGCAGAGAGCTGGATATTCAGCAAAATATGACAAAATTCAATATGCAAAGGGCCCCTTGCTGACCTAGACTCAGCCTTTAGCTTCTAGGCCCACTTACCGGAGGCTGGGTCGTCCCCTCCGCTGATTGGCCGGACCGGCTTCAGGCCCCAGCCAATGAGGCGGGGGCAGTGAGTGGCGGTTGGTGGAGGCAACCGCCCTGCAGAGGGGCGATGGCGGGGGCTGCAGGCCGCCTCCGAGGCCGTGCCCTGGGGCGCTTTCCGCTTTCCCTGCCCGTGGGCGACGTGAGTATCACTGAGGTTAGAAACGAGACCCTTTTTTCCACATTTTAGCGTCTTCCTCACTCCCATCCCTGGAGGGGAGAGGCAGGAATAGTGGTAACAGCTAATATTTATCAAACCTTTGCCATTGGCCAGTTGCTATATCACATAACCGTGCGACTGTTGAATCACTGAGCGGTGCAGTGGGTACTTAACCCACTTAAGAATGACTTCAGAGAAGATAGAGGCTGCCGAGGTCGTGTGGGAGGAAATCCAGAAGGCTCCCTTCAAATCCGGGGGCTCTTATGACCTTGAATCCTCTCCACGCTCCACTTTGTAAACTAGAGCGCTTCTTAGCAGGTGGCTCATATTGTGCTGGGTGCCTGAGTGGGGATAGAAGACCCTAGAATCCTGATGCTTATTAAGTTTTGGGTTTTTTAATAGAGAAAGCAACGTGCTAAAAGCGTTTGTGGGAAAGATAAATTCAGGAGAGCTCCTGTCTCTTGGGATGGTCATACAGGAAGCTTCCATCAAATCTTGTGTTCTTTCTTAAACCCTAAGGTGGGAACCTGTGGATGTCTATTGTATTCATTCCCTTTCTTGTTTGTCTGAAATACAATTTTATTTTTTAAAGATTTTATTTATTTATTCATGAAATACAATTTTAAAAGGAAAACATGCACAAGGAAAATTTCAGAGGATGAAGTGTACACATCAAAAAGGAAGTCTCTCCCACCCCAGATTTCTAGAGCCCCTCACTAGGAGCAGCTGTTAGCAGTTTTGTGTGTATCTCATACATTTTCTATAGTACCTACAAACACATGAGGGTTGTTTTTCTTATCTCCTCACAAGCGGATTCTACTATATACAGTATTGCACTTTGGATGATTTCCTTTTTAACCTCATTAAACTTAAAAAAAAAATCTTTAGCCTTCATTAGCCCTGTGATCAATATAACTTTGTTGGCAAGATATTCCCAGGGCTGCTTCTGATATGAGATGTAGGTCACGGCTTCCCTCACTGTGTGTTTGCCTTTTTCTTTTTGCACATCCTTCCTGTAGGTTCCAAAAAAAAAAAAAAACAAAAAACACCAAATTAACTCCCTCATGAGTACAGGAGAAAAAGAGCCATGGCAAATAGAGTATTGTTTTACCTTTCCTGAACATTCTTACTCATATTCTGAAGTAAAATCCCACATAGAGCCCACTACTGCTTGAAATTAATTTGCTGAAGAAAAGTGGCAAAGAGAAGTGAGGATTCATCTTCTCACCTTGCAGGAAAATGCCCAGCTTCTTATCAGTGAAGTAACAAGGGGAGAGAACCTTGTTTGTTTTCAGTTAGGGGATACCGGGTGTCATACGTTATTATTTTACCCCTTCTAAAAATCCAAGGTATTTTTTTCCTTTTAAAAAAATTCTCCCAATCACGCAACTCTTACATGGAAGCACTAGGGATTCCATTCCAGGCACAGCTAACTCCAAAAGTCCTGTCAGATTCGAGATGTTCCCTGGAATGAATTCATTTGCTCATTAAGCTGCTTTGCATGGCCCATTGCCTCTACCTCCAATCTCTTCATCTCTGGTTCTTGTCAATCCCCGCAGGAACTGGGTCCTTCAGACTCAAGCCTCCTGGCCTTTTCTCTCCTCTACCTGGAACACATTTCCCTAGCACCTTCCTTGAGTATTTTTGAAAGTGAAATTCCTGCAAGTCGTGTTGCCGACATAGTCTGCAGGACAAATTTTTAACCAAATGGTGCTTGACATGGCTGATTGCCAACCCCTGGGCATTGAAATGACTGTCCCGAAGAGAAAAAGATCGTCTCAATACGCATTTTTGTGACGCCTGTGTTTGTAAAGGTTCTGTGTTTTGACAAATTGGCTCTCTATGAGCTTCTGTGCCAGCGCGCTGGGCCGCGATGCGGTCTTGCTCGTGGCCTGGATCCAGTTGGCAGTCTGCGTCTCTGTTCACCAGATAGACAGAGCTAAGCAAGGGTCAGCGCCGGGGGTCCGAAAGCGACGGAAGCTGCAGCTCCCGGGGGGCGAGGGGCGGCTGGGCGGGCGCAGATCCGACGTCACTGCGGCGCGCCGCTTCCGGTCCCCAGCTCCCGAGCGAATGACTGCTCCCTCGGTGGGGCGGGAGCTGGGCTTACTGCGACCCCAGGGAGCCCACGATCGCGCCGCCCCAGCCAGCGAGTCGGCTAGCACCAGCGTCCCGCCGGCGCCTGGGACCATGGCCACCGACTCGTGGGCCCTGGCGGTGGACGAACAGGAGGCGGCGGCTGAGTCGGTGAGTTGGCTTCAGGCGTAAATGGGTCAGGGGGTCAGTTTTGGCCGGGGATCACCCTTGTGTAGGACACTCGCCGCTTTGGCCAGGACGGTATAGGATGCGTGTGAGGCTGGAGCCTGAACCTTGAGCTGGCTTTGTTTATCCATCCGCCTCCTGGGTTACATAAGAGCAGGTGAGTGAGTGCTCCCATGGATCTAGCGCCCAGCCGCCTGTCTTCTGGAATCAAGACTGATCGAGATTGCGCTCTCCCCACTTGGATTATAATCTCCCTGTGTCATTCCCTACCTCTGGACTGTGAGCTTCCTGAGCTCTGGGACTGTGGCTTACTCATCTTTGCGTGCTTCCTTACTTGCTTACTGATGATGAACGAACGACTCCGTTGGCCCGGTAGTCAGTAAATCCTCTTCTCTGATCACCTTAATTTTGTTCTGGGCTTTGTACACAGTAAGCAAGATATGACTTAAACATGACTATGTAGAATTAATTCCTTCCACCTAAACACTCTAAGTTCTGATAGTGCTTTGAACCTACTTCTGTGAATTTCTTAAGAATAAGGACTCTTTGTCTTATTTTTTATACAACTGATAATAAATTATATGCACATAATTCAAAGAGTCAAATAGTTTTGAAAACTGGTTCCACCACCAGCAATTTTTCCTTCCCAGAGAAAAACTAATAGTTCTCTTGAAACGGATATACATCATTGACCTCCTTGTTCTCTAAATCACAGGGTTTTGCTAGTTCTTGAATTTTCAATTTTAGGTATTTACTGATTTTAATTCTTTCCTCCATCCTTTCTCCACCACACATGCACACCTTCCCATTCCTTACCTTTTCATTATATTGTAATTTTAGTTAGATCAGTATTTCATGTTTATCTTATTAGTAACTTATGATACTTTTACTTTCCTATAAAGTTTTGTTTTTCCTTGGAATTTATAAAAAACACGCTTCATGGTTTTTTTTTGTACTTACAATCAGTTCAACCTCAAGCACTTTGCTAATTGTTTAGTTTATCTCAGGATGTTCAGACAAATTAAGTATTCTATTAATTCGGGGGGCCTGGGTGGCTCAGTCAATTAACCAACTGACTCTTGATTTCAGTTCAGGTCACAATCTTGAGGTGGTAAGATCCAGCCCCATGTGGGGGTCCATGCTCAGTGTGTAGTTTGCTTAAGATTCTCTCTCTGGCCCCTCCCACTGTTTCATAAATAAACAAAAAAATATTATTTTTAAAGATTTTATTTCTTATTCATGAGAGATACAGGGAGAGAGGCAGAGACATAGGGAGAGGGAGAAGCAGTCTCCCCACAGGAGCCCAATGCAGGACCCGATCCCAACACCCTGGGATCATGCTCAACTACTGAGCCACCCAGGCGCCCCTAGAATCTTTAATTTTTATTATTATTTTTTAAGGATTTTATTTGTTTATTCATGAGAGACGGGGGAGGGAGGGTCGGTGCAGAGACACAAGCAGAGGGAGAAGCAGGCTCCATGCAGAGAGCCTGACATGGGACTCGATCCTGGGTCTCCAGGATCATGCCCTGGGCTAAAGGCAGTGCTAAACCGCTGAGCCACCTCGGCTGCCTAAGAATTTAATTTTTTTTTTAGAATCTTTAAAAAAAAAGTCTTATTAATTCTATTTCCCCCAGGTCTTTTAGCCTACTTCATACTGGACTAGTTCTCCCTAGGTTTAGAGCAGAACTCATTTCAAGGACTGGAGAGGAACAAGACAGATTTCCCTTCACCTTCATTCTGAAGATTCACTCCTCTTCTCTTGTACTGGATCCCCTCCTTTCTGTATCCTCTCTTCATCTTTCTTGATTTGGTGCAACCATCCATCCAGCTTTCTGGAGTATATAAGAAGTTTTTTTAAGATAATATTGCATTTCTGTAAATAATTATTTTGCTCTATCATTTGGATAGTGGTATGGCTTGGTCTAGAGCTGCAGGTTGGGAATTAATTTCCTACCAAATTTTAAAGGCATTGTCTCATTGCCTTTTAGATTTCTTTATTGGTTATTGAGATGTCTGAGACCATTCTGATTCCTGATGTGACCTGTTTTTTCATTTGTAATCCATAAGAATCTTCTGTTTGTTTCCAGTATACAGAAAACTCATGATAATGAGTCCTGGTATGGGTCTGTTTTCATCCACTTTGCTGGGCACTGAGTAGGTCCTTTCTTTTCTTTCAATTTTATTTTTAAGTAATCTCTACAACCAATGTGGAGCTCAAATCCACAACCCTGAGATCAAGAGTTGCATACTCTTCTGATTGAGCCAGCCAGGCATTCCTGGGTGGGTCCTTTCAATCTGGAAAATTCTTGTCCTTAAGTTATGAGAAATTTTCTTGAAAAATTTAATTGTTGATTTCTCCTCCTCTGTTTTCTCTTTGCCTTCTTTCAAGAATTCTTACTACTTGACTGTTGGACCTCTTGGCCTGGCCCTCTAAAATTTTTAAGTCAAGTTTATTGAGGTATAATTTACACAGTGTAAAACTCATCCTTGTTCTGTGAATTTTGACTAAGGCATCCAGTTGTGTAACCACCACCACAATTAAGATACAGAACAAAAAAAAAAAATTAAAAAAAGATACAGAACTTTCCACCACCTTCAAAAAGTTCCCTCAAACTTTCAGTCACTCCCTTCTCCCTTCCTTTTCTGGCAACCGCTGGCTTGTTTTCTCTTTAGATTTGCCTATTCTGAACATTTTATATAAGTAGAATCATACAGTATGTGGTGTGTTGTGTCTGGTTGCTTTCACTTAGCATAATGTTTTCAATGTTCATCTATGTTGCAGTAGGTATCAGTACTTGATTCCTTGATATTGCCAAGTAATATTCCTTTGTCTAGATATATCACATTTTATTTATCCATCAGTGTCCACTGATGAGCATTTGGATTGTTTTCTACTTTTTCATTATTATGAATAATATTGCTGTGATTATTCATGTACAGGTTTTTGTGTGGACATATATTTTCTTTTTTTTTAATTTTTAAAAGATTTCTATTTATTCATGACAGAGAGAGAGAGACAGAGAGAGAGAGAGAGAGAGAGGCAGAGACACAGGCCGGGGGAGAAGCAGGCTCCATGCAGGGAGCCTGACGCGGGACTCGATCCGGGGTCTCCAGGATCACGCCCTGGGCTGAAGGTGGCACTAAACTGCTGAGCCACCCGGGCTGCCCATAAATTTTCAGTTCTCTTTGGTATACACCTAGAAGTGGCATTGCAGGATTATATAATAACTCTATGTTTAACTTTGAGGAATTGTCAGACTTTTCCAAAGTGGCTGCACCATTATATCATCCTTAAAATTATTATGTTCTATGAGATTAGTATTATCTATGACAAGCACCATCATGTAGAGGTTAAAACCTTAACCTTTATAGCCAGATGGTCTAGGATTTGTATTCTAGGTCCATCACTTACTAGTTATATAACTTTGGGCACATTGCTTGACCTTTCTATGCCTCAGTTTCCATATCTGTAAAATGGAGATAATCATATTACCTCATTGAGTTATGGACATACTTGTTATAAGTGCTACATAAGTAATAGTTATCTGTAATCCACAGTTTCTTTGCAGAAATCTTTTAAATTACTTGTCCATGTTTTACGCATTAGATAGATGAACCTGGATAAGCTTTGTGCATATACTTAACACATGCACATGTAAATTAGATCACAATATTCCAAAACTGAGCAAATTGAGTAAAAATGCCTCTATTAGCCTCTGCTTTATGTAACTCTAACTGAGGATACCCACAGAGATTGTGTGACATAGGTGACAGTAATGTGTGTGGTGCAAGTTTACTATATTTTAAATATTTATTAAGCTTCATTCCTTATTCATTTAAGAAAATACTAGATTTTATTTATATTTATTTCCTCGTTCTCCAGTGCTCCTCTCTGTTTCCCTCTGTTCCGTTGGTGATTTTGTTTTTAAGATTTTATTTATTTATTCATGAAAGACAGAGAGAGAGAGAGAGAGAGAGAGAGAGAGAGAGAGAGAGAGGCAGAGACACAGGCAGGGGTTGAAGTAGGCTCCATGCAGGGAGCCGGACGTGGGACTCAATCCCGGGTCTCCAGGATCACGCCCTGGGCTGAAGGCGGTGCTAAACTGCCGAGCCACCCGGGCTGCCCATTTTTTTTTTTTTAAAGATTTTATTTATTCATTAAAGACAGAGAGAGAGAGAGAGAGAGGGAGAAAGGGAGAAAGAGAGAGAGAGAGAGAGAGAGGCAGAGAAACAGGCAGAGGGAGAAGCACTGTTGGTGATTTTTTAATTTAGACTTTTCCAAAGTCTGCTTCACCATTTTGCCTAAGACAACCCCTATTCCATATAGTTCACTTACCATTAAATCTTTTATGTCTCAAGAATCCTTTCTCAAGTAGCTTTTTTTTTTTTTTAAAGATTTTATTTATTTATTCATGATAGTCACACACAGAGAGAGAGAGAGGCAGAGACACAGGCAGAGGGAGAAGCAGGCGCCATGCAGGGAGCCCGAGGTGGGATTCGATCCCGGGTCTCCAGGATCACTCCCTGGGCCAAAGGCAGGCGCCAAACCGCTGCGCCACCCAGGGATCCCTCTCAAGTAGCTTTTGAGTAAAATGCAGTGTGTAACTGTAGAGCTTTCAATTATTTTATCTTTAATATATCTTAAAAGCTAAAATATTAAAAGGCATTGAAAGAATGTGGATATTACAAAGTGGATGTTTTTGCTTTTTTGCCCTTTGGTTAATTTCAAGATGGTTTCCAATGAAGCTGCAAGAAAAATTGGTTTCTCCTTTTTCATCCAAGCAAATAAAGGTTATCTAACCTAACTGTACTTTCAGTCGAACTTTCAGCGTTCAGTTCACTGACATTGTACTCAGTAATACAAACTTCACTGTCTTTGTTTTATAAGCTTTGAGATCCTTATAGCCAAGAGAGGGCTGAGTTTATTTTTGGATTCTGCTGGAACCTCTCCAGAATCCTGATACATTGTAATCAAAACATCTATTGGTTTCACTTACATTGTTGCTACCAGCTTTACTACATATTGCATTTTAGTTATTTTAGTTATTACTTTACTCTGATAACTTCAATTTGAACAATATATCGACAAAAGAATGGTTTGCCCTTTTAATCATTGATTATTAAAATGCTTTAAAGTAATGGGTGTTTGTAACTCATTTATGCCTCAGCCCTATCATTTGTTTTAGCTAGCAGTTACCACCCTAGGAATGAATACTATTAACCTTACTGTTGTAAATATTGCAAGTAAGTCAGGCAGTCTTTCTATATGTTTGTCTATCTCCCTCTCTGTCTCTCTTCCCCCACCTCGCAGTCTCTCCCCCTCTCCCTCTCAATAGACCTGGATACTACATTTAAACAAGGTTTGTTGGTAGGATGTGGACAAGTGCTTTAGAGAAGACTAAAATACACTGGACACTTACTGTATGTCATGCACTGCGCTGGTCACTTCATATTCATTGTCTGTTAGTGTGTTTGCTATCCTGTGAATTAATGAAGGATTTTTGCTGCATTAAGAGGATTTCCTTTTTTGCCAATTTCCTTTCTTGCCAGTCTCTCCAGTATGTTAACCCCTATTTCTCCCTAACATCAAAGCAGAGATACCAGAAACTCCCTTTTGTTTCCAGCGATAGAAATGCAGTTCCTCCATCCCAACTAACCACCCATTAAAACATTTGTTTCATTCCTCTCTTGCCTTTTCCCTTTCTTGGACTTAAGAGGAAAGAGAGAATGAACCTCAAAACATAAAGAACCAGTGTGGGTGTGCTTTAAGAAATAGCCATTTTCATTCTTACCCTTCACCAGATGATGTCCTAAGCTCCACTTAATATTTTGTGATTAGAGTACCTTTGTGCTAGACCCAAAAATTTAAAAATTCATATCTTTAAGGTATAATCCCCCCCAGCTTTAATGAGGTATAATTGACAAATAAAAGGGTATTTTTATTCTAATACAGGAGATAAGTCCCACCAGGATATGTCTAACAGTGTTTGATCAAAGTCCTAATAATTCTTTGAAATGTCTCTTTGCTCTGTCCCTTCCTTTGTATTCCTACTTCAGATTGCTGGGTATTTTGATTACAGTGTGCCACATGCTCCAGGCTGTTCTCAGTTAAAAATATTAGACTTCTATCAAAACAAAGCAGTGTGTGCGTGTGCATGTCATGTTGTGGTCCTGTGGCTCAAATATATTGTGCAGCATAACTGATTCCTACCCGCAGATGCTTTTCGTTGCAGCCCTTCCACCTCAATGTTCTCTGGCGTTTTCCAAATATCTTGTAAAATTTCCTGTTGTTGGAATATGAGAGGATGACAAATGGTATTCAACTGAGAGAGTCTTTATAATCAGGGCATTAAGCAAACACATAAATTGTAATTTTCTCTAGGGACTGTAATTAGGAAGTGTGAATTTTGAGCCATTGTGTAACCAATTTTTTCTACTGTTGTTTATGGGAAATTTTTGTTTATTCTCACTGAAAACATTTAGTCAACAAAAAGAGCCCAGCAGAACAATTTAATGAGTAGGTCTTGAGAGTGGCTCATTTCTCCCCAGCTTCACTGGGGAGGCTCTGTTGATTCAAAATATTTTAAGTGATTTCCTGACACTTTCCCCTCCTCCCCCCATATTCTCCATTTAGTTGAGCAACTTGCATCTTAAGGAAGAGAAAATCAAACCAGATGCCAATGGTGAGTAAAAGCTAGTTTGAAAACAAATGTGATTTTAGTATTTCTGCTTTGTCATAGTAACTGTCTAGAAAAAAAATTATACATGTACCATGCAAGGGGCTGGCAGATACTGGCAGTCATTTGATTTGGGAACTAAACTGGATTGTTTTGCTTTGTGTTGTGCTTAAAAATAAGCATGAGGATGCCTATCTGACTTATAAGTTACCAAATTTATTGCTGACCATGAAAATATACAATAGACAAAGTATGAGCAACCTGAGAGTTAGCCTATTATTCTGAAGTCGTATCTACCCCAAATCCAAGATTTCCATTAAATTTTTGTTGATACACTTAATATTATTGGTGGTGGGGAGAATAGTAAAATTTACCTCATTCCAAATTCATTTACAGTCTTTTTCTATAAATTTTTCTTACCTACAAGTTGTTTGTACATTTAACAATTTATACTCCTAGAATCTTAATGACTTTATAGTGTAATATACTGATGATATGTGGTTTGCATAGATATTCCTCTGTTGAGCATCAAGGTGGTTTGTGATCATTGCCTGCTGTAATCATCTTTCTGTAACATTTCAGAAATATTGATGCTATGAGGGAATGTGTGAGAGGACTCAGAATAGGAAAGAACTAAAATATAAGCAACATTGTTTCACACTTTTGTTTATTTAAGAACAATAAAATGCTTTATCTGTGGCTTGGTTTCCTCATTTATTTTTGTGTTCCCCAGCCTTTACATTTCTAGTGTCTCATAGAATTTGAATTGTCTCAGCTGTTGGGTATGGGATGTGATATTGAATAACAGTGGCCGGTTTTTGTCTGATAAAGGTGCTGTTGTCAAGACCAATGCTAATACAGAGAAGGCAGATGAAGAAGAGAAAGGTAATAGCCTAGAGCTATACCCACGAGGTTCTACAGTCTTAATAGATTATTACAAGGCTTCGTTTTTATACCTAACCTGGCTTGGCTTTAAAGGGAGTCATAGTGCTAATAAATGCTCAACATAGTTGGTGGTGGAATTCGCATTGTTTACATTTTAGAGAAATTTTATTTTGAACTTACGGACTTCAGTAGCAGCATAAAATATGCCCTGAATGATCTTGTACAGGGCACTATAAAAGAAATTTTAAGTTGCATTTCCATTGTCTAATAAAGTTAATGCTATTTGGACACATTAAACACAAAACAACATATAGACTGCTTATATGATATTAAGATATGAACTTTGTTAATTTCTGTTTTTTTTTTCATCATTATGATGTGTTAGCCAAGCTAATAATTTTCAATTTTCTACTGAGCACAAATTGGGGAGTAAATACTTGGGCTTACATAGGAAGAGTAGATAATCTCTGGAAGGATGGTTGATTGGAACAGTCCTATAGAGGAATATAAGGCCCAAATGCATGGTATCAGTATCAAAAGCTTCCTCTTTAATAAAGCAATTTTAATTCTATTTATAAATCAAGGGACACCTGGGTGGCTCAGCGGTTGAGCGTCTGCCTTTGGCTCAGGGCATGATCCTGCAGTCCCAGGATCAAGTCCCACATCGGGCTCCCTGTATGGAGCCTCTTCTCCCTCTGCCTATGTCTGTCTGTGTCTCTCATGAATAAATAAAATCTTAAAAAATAATTTATGAATCAAAACTATGATATATCTTGAATTAGAAGTCCTAATATAAATATATGTTAATGCCTAAAGTGCCAATGAACAAGCAAATTCAGATGAGTTCATGGTGGATTTCATGGCCTTTTAAAATTCTTTGCTTTCTTCTTCATGACAGAGGACAGAGCTGCCCAGTCCTTACTTAACAAGCTGATCAGAAGCAACCTTGTGGATAACACAAACCAGGTGGAAGTCCTGCAGCGGGATCCAAACTCCCCACTCTACTCCGTGAAGTCCTTTGAGGAGCTTCGGCTGTGAGTGTTTACTTTCTGATTCTTCCCTTTGTGTTAGAGACCCCTAGGCCTATTTTTTTCATTACAGCAGAACTTTTTTAGCTAACACAATTTTAATCAAAGAATTTAGGTGCTGGGGGCTATAACATAAAATTTCCAGGTAATATGAATTGTGCTAAACGTGCAATTCAAGCATTAGTTGTAAATAAACTGTGTATAACAACAGTAACAAAGGAAAAATCCTTTAGACTTTGGCATCCTTCCTCAACCAAAGAGACGGTAACTTTCATCTTTAACTGTTTTCCCAGGAAACCACAGCTTCTCCAGGGAGTCTATGCCATGGGCTTCAACCGTCCATCCAAGATACAAGAGAACGCACTGCCTTTGATGCTTGCTGAGCCGTATGTGTCCTGATACAACTCTGTCCTTTTTAATTTTCCATTTTTTAAAACTTCTATTATTTAAAAAAAAAATATATATATATACTAGTAATACATACTTATTTTTAAAAAGTTAGAAAATAGGGCAGCCCTGGTGGCACAGCAGTTTAGTGCCACCTGCAGCCTGGCGTGTGATCCTGGAGACCCGGGATCGAGTCCCGCATCGGGCTTCCTGCATGGGGCCTGCTTCTCCCTCTGCCTGTGTCTCTGCCTCTCTCTCACTTTCTCTGAATGAATAAATAAATAAATCTTTAAAAATAAATAAATAAATAAAAAGTTAGAAAATAAAAATAAGAAAAATTGTAATCTTCCCCCATGCACTATACTAACATTTAGAGACTTCTAGACTTTTTTTTTTACATAAACTCACATATTTATACCTTTTCTAAAAAATAGAACCATATAAAATCTTTTTTAAAAAAAGATTTTATTTGTTTATTCATGAGAGACACACACAGAGAGAGAGGCAAAGACACAGGCAGAGGGAGAAGTAGGCTCCATGCAGGGAACCTGATGTGGGTGGGACTCGATCCTGGGTCTCCAGGATCACGCCGTGGGTTGAAGGCGGCACTAAACCGCTGAGCCACCCGGGTTGCCCTCTGAGAAGCTTCTAAGTGATGCTCATGCTGCTAGTTTCAGACCACATTTTGAGCAACAAGATCCAAGAGCATACGGAACTTTTTATAAAAAGTGGTCCCTCTGGGAATGCCTGGGTGGCTCAGCGGTTTAGCTGCATCGGCCTTCAGCTCAGGGTGTGATCCTGGAGTCCTGGGATCGAGTCCCATATCAAGCTTCCTGCATGGAGCCTGCTTCTTCCTCTGCCTGTGTCCCTGCCCACCCACCCCCCGCCCCCGTGCGTCTCTCATGAATAAATAAAATCTTAAAAAAAAAAATTGGTCCGTTATATAGGATTATGTAGAACTGTACTGCATATAATTCTAAATCCTGAAACTCTTTTCATATAGCCTAAAAATAGATATTTTCTTTGTTCTGTGTCATAATAGTGACTATTTTCATGATAAATAATGTCTCTTTTTAGCTTGACACTTTAAACATACTTAGGGATGCATAATGGAAAATTTGTTTCATGTTGGTCATTTGTATTTATAGATCTTAATTCTTTCATAGGTGCTCAGTTTTTAAATCATCAATATTAGAAGAGATCTGAATTATCTAGTACCTTTCTCCATTAATAAATATATATTGAGTGCAGGTATATAACAGATCCTATTCTAGGCACTTGGATACATCAGCAATAGTATGTAGTGTTAAAAGATATTAAGTTGTAAATGTAATTAATGCCACTGAAATGTACACTTAAAAAAGCTGTTTTTAGGGATCCCTGGGTGGCGCAGCAGTTTGGCGCCTGCCTTTGGCCCAGGGCGCGATCCTGGAGACCCGGGATCGAGTCCCACGTCGGGGTCCCGGTGCATGGAGCCTGCTTCTCCCTCTGCCTGTGTCTCTGCCTCTCTCTCTCTGTGACTATCATAAATAAATAAAAATTTAAAAAAATTAAAAAAATACTCTGTATTAAAAAAAAAAGCTGTTTTTAAAAAAGGTGATAAAATTTTTTTAATTAAAAAGGTGATAATTAAATCTTAATTTAAATTCTTTTAATTAAAAGAAGGTGATAAATGCTAATGAGAAAACAGCAGAATACGGGAGATCAGGAATACCAAGGGAACTGACTGCAATTTTCCCCCAACATTATATAATGAAATTTGTCAAACAACGAAGTTGAAAGGATTTTTTTTTTTAAGAATTTTATTTATTCATGAGAGACACACAGAGAAAGAGGCGGAGACACAGGCAGAGGGAGAAGCAGGCTCCGTGCAGGGAGCCCAATGTGGGACTTGATCCTGGGACTCCAAGATCACACACTGAGCCGAAGGCAGAGGCTTAACCACTGAACCACCCAGGCATCCCAGGATTATTATTATTTTTTTTTTTTGAGACAGAGCTTGGGGAGGGGGAGAGAGGGAGAGAGAGAGAATCTTAAGCAGGCTCCATGCCCAGCACAAAGGACTCAATGTCACAACCCTGAGATCATAACCTGAGCTGAAATCAAGAGTCAGATTCTGCTTCACTAACCCACCCAGGCACCCCAAAGTTGAAAGGATCTTATAGTGAACATCCATATGCCCACCATCTAGATGGTATAAATAACACTATTCTATACTTTATCACATATCAATTCACCAATACATCATTTCTTAAGGCATTTCAAAGGTGATGTGTGAGCAAAGCCTTGGAGGAGAGGAGTTAGTTGACATATCATTTGAGGACAGTTATCCCAGCAGAGTACAAGCCAGTGCAGAAACCCTAGGACAGGGGCATGGCTGGCATGCCTTTGGGGCAGCACCAAGGCCTTTGTGGTGGGGTGGTTAAGCGAGTGGCTAGTAGGAGGTAAGAACAGAGTACTACGAGGGAGCCAGGTCAGGTAGGACTTTGTACAGCAGAAGGATTTTCACTTTTAATCTGAATGAAATGGGGAGTGACTGGAAGGCTTTTGAGCAGAGGAGTGACATGAGCTGACTTACATTTTAAAAAGAATCACTGGCTGCTGAGTCAAGAATAAAAGATAGGGAGTGCTTTAAATCCCACCACAGTCCTCTTTCTGGTGCTCTGTGTTTGTGGGGCTACCCTTTGTAACTTTACTGTAGAAATCAAAGCTTCCTTACATAAACTAAGCTTTATTCTTCACTATTATTAACTAAAAGGATACTTGAGATTTAAGCTCCTAAACCATTTGTTTTCTTGCGCAGTCCACAGAACTTAATTGCCCAGTCTCAGTCTGGCACTGGTAAAACAGCTGCCTTTGTGTTGGCCATGCTCAGCCAAGTAGAACCTGCAAACAGATATCCCCAGGTAAGGGTTTGGTAAATTTGGATTTTCTGCTAATGTGTAGCTAGAAATTACATTTTCTGGATTAAAAGCCAAGATGCATATTACTTTTTACATAAGCTAGACCCCCTTGTTGAGCCCAAACAATATGGTTGACCGTCTAGTAGCAACATACATGCTGTTCCCTTTCCATCGTTTGCCAGTTCTGAGATAATGCTGAGAACTTTCTAAGTGAAAAGGAAGCTAACCTCCACGTAGAATTTCAGATCCTTCCTCACATGTGGGTTTTTGTACTCTTGTGGCCAAAGCTATTTACAAGTGTCTTTACCCAGCCAGAGTTTTAACCCTTAAGAATTCTAACTTACAATTTGCAGCATAAAGAATCAAATGGCACGCACTTTAATTTACATATAAGTCCTGATGGTAATTCCCACCCAACTTGAGATCTCACTCTACACTCTTTCCCTGCCAGTGTCTGTGCCTCTCCCCAACTTATGAGCTCGCACTTCAAACGGGAAAAGTGATTGAGCAGATGGGCAAATTTTACCCTGAACTGAAGCTAGCTTATGCTGTCCGAGGCAATAAACGTGAGTATGAATATGTGATCTGAATTCATTAAGCTAACAACTTGTATTTTAAAAATTTCAAAACCTCCAGTAGTTGAAATTAAAAAAAAAAAAAATGAACATGTGCCCTTCACCTATATTTGAAAATTTAACATTTTGCCAGATTTGCTCTATCTGTAGAAGTGTGTATGTGTGTATGTGTCTTGAGGGAACCATTTGGAAGTAAATTGCAGACACTGTGGATCTTTACTCCTAAATACTTTACCATGGCTCAGTCAGTTAAGCATCTGACGACCCTTGATTTCAGCTCAGGTCTTTTTTTTTTTTTTTTTTAAAGATTTTATTTATTCATGAGAGAGAGAGAGAGGCAGAGACACAGGTAGAGAGAGAGGGAGAGAAGCAGGCTCCATGCAGGGAGCCCGAGGCGGGACTCGATCCTGGGTCTCCAGGATCACACCCTAGGCCGAAGGCAGCGCCAAACCGCTGGGCCACTGGGCCTGCCCTCAGCTCAGGTCTTCATCTCAGGGCCTTGAGTTCAAGCCCTGCATTGGTCTCCACAATGGGCATGGAGCCTACTTAAACAATTTTAAAAATTAATTTTTTTTTAAGATTTTACCTATTCATGAAAGATATACACACAGAGAGAGAAAGAGGCAGAAACACAGGCAGAGGGAGAAGCAGGCCCCATGCAGGGAGCCCGATGTGGGACTCAATCCCAGGTCTCCAGGATCAGGCCCTGGACCAAAGGCAGCACCAAACTGCTGAGCCACCCGGGCTGCCCCCGCCCCAAACTTTTTTTAATAAATACTTTAGCATGCATCTTATAAGGACATCCTTCAACATAACCCACAAAATCCTTATCACAGCCAAGAAAATTAACAGATTCTCTAATAACTAGTATCCATTTTTATTTTTCCCCCATATTCCCAAAAGTCCTATACTCTTTATGGCTATTTTTGAAACAACAACAAATTGGTGTGTATGCAATGCATTTGGTATTATCTTTAAATTTAGAATAGTTCCGGGGATCCCTGGGTGGTTCAGCAGTTTAGCGCCTGCCTTCGACCCAGGGTGTAATCCAGGAGTCCAGGATCGAGTCCCATGTCAGGCTCCCTGAGTGGAGCCTGCTTCTCCCTCTGCCTGTGTCTCTGCCTCTCTCTCTCTGTTTCTCATGAATAAATAAATAAAATCTTAAAAAAAAAAATAGAATAGTTCCTTCACCTTCTCTTCTCCCTAGTACATTTGACTTTAAACAGGCCAAATCAGGGCAGCCCAGGTGGCTCAGCGGTTTAGCACCGCCTTCAGCCCTGGGCGTGATCCTGGAGACCTGGGATCGAGTCCACATCGGGCTCGCGGGATGGAGCCTGCTTCTCCCTCTGCCTGTGTCTCTGCCTCTCTCTGTGTGTCTCTCATGAATAAATAAATTAAAAAATCTTAAAAAAAAAATTTTAAACAGGCCAAATCAGTTGCTTATAAAATGCTACACATTCTGAATTTAATTGCCTAATTTCTTTTTAATGTTAATTAGAACAAAAATGTTCTAGAATATTCATGATAACTCTGGCATCTAATTTTTTTAAATTATAATTAACATACAGTATTTTATTAATTTTAGCTATACAGTGATTCAGCAGTTCTATATTTTTCTCAATTCTCATCAAAATAAGTGTAATAAATGTAAAGAATAATTCCCTTTATTTCACCCCACCCAACCTACCTCCCCTCTGGCAGACATGTTTGTTCTCTGTATTTAAGATTTTGCCTAGGAAAAAAAAAAAAAAAAAGATTTTGCCTAGGGATCCCTGGGTGGCGCAGCGGTTTAGCGCTTGACTTTGGCCCAGGGCGCAATCCTGGAGACCCGGGATTGAATCCCACGTCGGGCTCCCGGTGCATGGAGCCTGCTTCTCCCTCTGCCTGTGTCTCTGCCCCTCTCTCTCTCTCTCTCTGTCTCTCTCTCTGTGACTATCATAAATAAATAAAAATTAAAAAAAAAAAAAGATTTTGCCTGGTTTTTTTTTTTGAAGCTTATTTGTATTATTCTTTTTTCTTTATTCACCTTTCCTACTTCTGTTTTGCAACAAATTAACAATATTTAAAAAGTGTTGTTGAGAGTTTGGCTATGAATGTTTTAACACAAACCTGTAACTATGACTCTCAGAAATCCACTCAGCATATAATGTCCTAATACCAACTTGAAGTTGCTTCTAAAAAGTAAGATTATAAAACTTAGTTGAAGATGATCATAAGACATTTAAAATTTTGCAGTTTGGGTTGAAGTTAGAATGCAACTTTTGTGGAAGGCAGTAATTGGATTAACAGAAGCAGCAGCATTTATTGGCTTTGAACTGACTCAACATTTATATTTGGGCAAACTTTTGGCAGTGATTACAGGGAGCTTGTGTATATCAGGTCAAGGTTGTAATTAAAGGACTTAAATTCAATGTATAAGTGCCATCTAATTAAAAATGAAAAGCCAAATCTCAGCTTCAGACTGTACATGGTCAAGAATGTGCCATAGCTCGCCAGGCCTTGTCTAGGGAAGCACTTCATCTAGGAGAGGCAGTAGGTGTTTCTTGGAGAAAGCAAAGCCATTCATGATGAATTCTATTTTCTGACCTGGGCAGGGAGTACATAAAGGCAACCGACTGGTTTGATGTAGATTAACTAGAGTAGCTGAGGGGCAGAGTGCACTGGAAAGAGCAGTGGAAGTCTGCTTGTGAGGAAGTGCAATCCTGGGCTGGGGGAATGCTGTTGCCAGAGAAGAAATAAAGGTAACAACAGATCTTAACGAAGGAGAACTGGAGGACTACAGAGAATGGACAAGAACGCTACTGAAGAGACTTTCATCTTGTCACTGTTTTTATCATTATTTTGTCTTTTCAGCATTATTAGATACTATAGTGATATAACCTTTCCTGAAGATATTAATGCAAACATCAAACAATTGCATTAAAATACATCATGCCTTTAGGTTTTCCCAGAGAGGAAAGCTGAACTTACCATGGAAATACCCACAGAAAACGTCTTGTCTCCACAGTGGAAAGAGGTCAGAAGATCAGTGAGCACATTGTCATTGGCACCCCTGGGACTGTTCTGGACTGGTGCTCCAAGCTCAAGTTCATTGACCCCAAGAAGATCAAGGTGTTTGTTCTGGATGAGGCTGACGTGATGATAGCTACTCAGGGCCACCAAGATCAGAGCATCCGCATCCAGAGGTAGGAACTCTTGAGCCAAGAGGAACTTCTCAGCTTCCTGATCTGCAGCATCTTCTCCTTTTACTTCAAACACCTCTTCTTGCTCCTGTTAGGTTCTTTACTTTTGTACTTCTAGAAGCATTTGTTTGATGGGCCATATCCTCGTCAGCACTGACTGTGGGTTGAGGAAGGAGATTTAGGGAATCTAACACCAGCCCTGTCCCTGCCCCATGACTGCTCTCGCCTCCTCCCTACTGTTCTTCTCCCCCTTCTGCCACTCTCCTGGGCATGTGGATCACCCAAGCCCGGGGCAGCTGTCTTCTGTTCCTTCCAGGGAAAGACTCAGGATCATGCCACATACCTGGGTCTTCCCTTGCAGGATGCTGCCCAAGGACTGCCAGATGCTGCTTTTCTCTGCCACCTTCGAAGACTCTGTATGGAAATTTGCCCAGAAAGTGGTCCCAGATCCAAACATTATCAAACTCAAGCGTGAAGAGGAGACACTGGACACCATCAAGCAGTATTACGTCCTGTGCAATAACAGAGATGAGAAGTTCCAGGCCCTGTGTAACCTCTATGGGGCCATCACCATCGCTCAGGCCATGATCTTCTGCCATGTGAGTAGCAGTGGCAGCAGCAGGCCTGCTGGGGGAGTAGTTGCCCTGGAGGAGGTGCCTGCCCCTCCTTGCAGCCAGCTCCAGCTTGGTGCTGAGGACCACCAGGGGCCCGGTGTGGCCGGAAAGGAAATGAATCACCTCCACCTGCCCCAGGGAATATTCTCCTCAGACTGTAATAAGTTAGGGAAAGATTGCGAAGAACTATACCTTCTTTGATTGGTCCCACTTCTTAGAGATTACTTGGAAAAAAACTCTAACATCCAATGAAATAATTATAAAACATTAAGAATATAGACTATTTGGGAATGAAGATCTTTGGATCACACCACTCTTTCTTACTGAATGCTAAGATGATTTAAGTAATTCATCCAAAAAAATTTTTCACTTGGCTAAAATTATTTGTGAAATTGGTAAGCCTATCCTGTTGACTGAACTTAGCAGGTCTTCAGGTATTTTAATGGCAACAAGCCACTTTTTTGCAGGTATCTTTTTTTTTTTTAACAGGTATCTTCATTTAAAACCATTCTGTTCACTCCAGACCCGCAAAACAGCTAGCTGGCTGGCAGCAGAGCTCTCAAAAGAAGGCCACCAGGTGGCCCTGCTGAGTGGCGAAATGATGGTGGAGCAGAGGGCTGCGGTGATTGAGCGCTTCCGAGAGGGCAAGGAGAAGGTGCTGGTGACCACCAACGTGTGTGCCCGAGGTGAGCAGAGAATCTGTCCGCCAGGCCCTGGGTAGCAAGGGAAGTCCTCCTGTATGGGGCGCTCTGCCGGTTCGGGGCGAGTCCACATGGGCTTGGTGCCAGCATTCTTTCCTGGGAGAGACTGGATTCCCCCAGCAGATGAGAACTGTCACAGAAGCCAGGAGCCCCGATGTGGTGGAAGGACAGGGACAGGCACCTCACTGGTCCAGAATGGCACCTTCTCTTTGGGGCCCCCAGTGAGGTTCTGGCTGCATTACTGATGTCCTATTTCTTTGGCACCCTGCCAAAGTTGTTTTTCCCTCTGGATTCTGCTAGGTGCCCCTTGGCCCCAAATCCCAGAGCCAACCTGCCCCAGACTCTTCTTCCACGTGAAGCTGGTGTGTGTCGGCCTTGCTTGGCTGGTGGTGATTTTTGTCTCCCTTCCTGACCTCTCCACTTCTTTCATGCAGGTATTGATGTCGAGCAGGTTTCTGTCGTCATCAACTTTGACCTTCCCGTGGACAAGGACGGGAACCCGGACAACGAGACCTACCTGCACAGGATCGGGCGCACGGGCCGCTTTGGCAAGAGGGGCCTGGCAGTGAACATGGTTGACAGCAAGCACAGCATGAACATCCTCAACAGAATCCAGGAGCATTTTAGTGAGTGCCTGGGAGTGTCTCTGCTGGTGTGCCCTCTCCTTACAGGGGCGAGTCCAAGGGAAGGGGTGAAGGGTAGATTCTCCTGTGGCCCCAAGAAAGGCCTTTGTCCCCAACACAGTCCCCTCCTTCCCTACAATAGGGAAGTGCTCCAAGAGCACACCTGGCGAGTTTTCAGGGTCAGAGACGCAAATGACAGTTCCCCCTTGGCCAGCCTGAGGGGCCTGGGGCTCTGTCCCTTGCTCAGGCACTGGGAGTCTTTGGGCTTAAGTGAAAGGTCGCTGTGGCCAGAGGCATGGCCCATCCCTAGGAAACACGGAACCCTGTGTTTCCTCTCCCTGTGCCGTGCTGTCCCTTCCCTAGGGGTGGGTCTCTGTGGTAGCCCCATGTTGATTTCTCTCTGAATTCTCATCTTCCTCCCCAGATAAGAAAATAGAAAGATTGGACACGGATGATTTGGACGAGATTGAGAAGATAGCCAACTGAGAAGCTCCACCAGTCACCAGTGCCCACGCCTGGCACTCACTCCACCTGCACGGAAGACTAGTGCTTTCATGGCACAGGCCTCAACAGTTACCACAAAGAGGAGGCAGAGGAGAGAGAAACTACCTACCTCATTTTAAATTACGTTTGGACTAGACAAAAATTGTGCAAATGATGGGGGGAGGTAGAAAAAAATTGTTTATACAACTTTTGAAGATTAGGCATGAATACACAGAAATTTACCTTTTGGAAATTCCGTCTTCTTTTTGGCCATTTTCCCCACCTTTAAGCTGTAGCTAATTAATCACTTGCTCAAGATGCTTGTGGCAGCCCTTGCCACTGCCCAGCCAGAGGGCCACAAGTGTTTAGAATAGCCTCCAGACAGAAGAGAGGTGAAGACAAACAGAAGCCCTAACTGGGATAGGTGTGTAAGCCAGGCATCACGTTTGGAGTATGGGATGAGGCCTATGAGCTGGTGTTTTGGATTTGGGGTGGGGCAGCGCATCTCAGTGTTGTCAGCTCCACTAGGAAGGGATTTGCTAACCATGAGCCAAATTGCCACGCTGGGACTTTTGGTGCTTGCAGGTTTGTTGCAGGACCATGACCTGGTTTTCATCAGCAGGGCAATGTGTGTATAGTGCACATCTGATTATCAGCGGATCCCTTGCCTGTGCTTAAAGCTTGTGGAGAAGTCTTCATGGATAGTTAAGTGGTGGCCCTCACTTACCATACAACCTGGGCTCACAGGCACTTGCAGCATCTTCTTTATAATCCCTAATGTCACCTTTGCCCCTTAGCCTCAAGCAAATATAAGGTGATCTAAGGTTTGGATCCTCAGTGAAAACTGTGGCTTCAAGTCATTCACAGACAGCCTGAAGGCAACTCCAGAAGTGAATCAGCAGTAGTCACAAATACTTGCTTTGTCTCCAGATCCCAGAAGGCAACATTCGTCAGAGCTGGGGTATGATTTCAGGTATTTGATGTCTTGGTTGTAAAGTGATTTTGAATATGTGTTCACATTTCTTGGAATACACATAGTGCAATAAGGAACTAGGATTATGGCCATTCACCTGCATAAAGCGGGAGTCAATGCCAAGGACTTGGCTCCCTCCTTACTGGGCATCTTTGTGCAGAATAGTCAGAACAAATGTTAGTAATGAACACTTCCTCTTACCTGGCTAAGGCTGATGGTATCCACAGTTACAGAGCAAAGATGAGATGAAACGCCAGCAACGTGAAGTCTTCTCTACCTCTTTGACCTTGATACAGAACGGGTACTTTGTCTAGGCCCAGGCCTGGAAGAGGGATTTTATGTCATTCTAATCCCAGACTATCCTTATAAGCATTTCCATGTTTTAGGGCCAGACTGGTTTCCTAGGCAGGGAAGGGGTCCTTGCCAGCCTTCAAGTAGTTTCCTTAATCTGACATTAGATACAGAGAGACCAAAAACTGCCACTCCTGCCACATTTCCCCAGTGGCCATTCGTAGTCTTTTCTGATTCTGGCCAACTCTGACCCACCTTGGGAGTCTTATAAAAAGAGAAGAAATTTTGTCTCCCACCCCCTGCTGGGCTGTGGACCAACCCTGAAATAACTAAAACAAAGTCAGGAATTAAAGGAGTATAGACTCCTTACAGGCTGCAGGCTGACTACATTCCCTTCTTCCTGCCAACTGCATAGCCCTAAATCTAAATAAGCAGCCAGGGGATGGGGCGGGGATGATGGAAGTACCAGTACATATTTTGTGAATCTTTACAACTATACTGTTCTATCTTTACCCATGTTTCCACCATCCTTGGAATTCTCCTAATAGGAGAAAAGCCAAGTACCCTTAGGTAGCTTATCCCTGAGAACACACAACCATATGCTTAGATTTGAAAGACCATGAGTCAGCCCTGGTCAGGTGTGTGGTCAGGTGTCCTAGGAGGGTTGTCCTCTGGTCTGTGTTCCTCAGACACCAAAGTTTCTAATTTGCACAAGAAATGTCCTGATAAACCAATGCCAATTGAGTACAAGTTTAACAACAGAATAAGTCCCAGTGTTTTGGCACTGCTTTAATTTCGAAAACAAATAAGGTTATGCTAGAGGGACAAATAATGTTCTATTCATCTGATTTCATACTTAATGCCCATGGAGGGGACAACTTCAGAAACAGCTGGAGTACCTTGAGCCTCATAGTTCATTAGTCCTATCATCCTAACCCACAGCATGGAGCCCAATGTAGGGCTTGAACTAACAACCCTGAGATCAAAATCTGACACCAAAAGTCAGACACTTAACTAAGCCATGCAGGTGCCCCTTATTATTCTTTTCTGGTTAACTCTTCCACTCTGACCAGTGACCATTTTAAGACTTTCACTCACCTCAAACTTCCAACCCCATTATCTCCATACTTGGAGTCAACAATCAACACAAGGACACTCCCCCAAGCACACCTATCCTTCCCTTTCCCTCCTGTTACAACAGAAGTCCCTACTATCTAAATTTCTCTACAAATGCACCCTCTCCTGTGGCTGTTTAAGGACTTGCTCCATCTACTCCATCTCATATTTTCAACCTCTCCCACCCCACTAGCGGGTTCCCCATCAATTTTCCCTCATGTGTGTGTGTAGTAGTATAATACACATAACGAAAAATAAAATACAAGTTTACCATCTTAACCATTTTTAGGTGTACAGTATATTAAATACATTCATAATGTACAACCACCGCCCACCACCATCCATCTCTTGGATCTTGCAAAACTGAAATATACCCAAGGAGAGGGGTAAGGATGGGGTGGTGGAGAGGTGGACTCCCTACTTGGCTCAGAGCCCAACGTAGGGCTTGATCTCATGACCTGAGCCAAAACCAAGAGTCAGATGCTCAATCAACCACTCAGGGGCCCCAAAAAAACACATTATATTTGACCCCTCAACAGCATTTAACAATATAAACAGTCCCTTCCTCTAACCATTCTTCTGATGACTGAAGTGACACACCACACTCATTGGTCTTCCTTTACTCTGGCCATTGTGAGTGTTCCTCATAGCTCTGTTTTGGGTCATTTCTTCTTCTTTCTCTACTGTGGGGAATCTTTTTCATTCCTCTGGCTTTCTTTCTGCTGACAATTCCAAAATCTATACCAAGACCCAGTTTTTGAGCTCCAGGGTTGTAGAAACAACTGCCCACATGGCACTTGCACTTGGGATGTCTTCAAGGAACCATGTACTCAATATATCCAAAATTGAACCTATCATCTTGTACTACCACCAAACATCACCACTCCAAAAAACTCATGTTCTGCTTTTGGCTTTTCCTTTATCTTATGAAATGGCATCATAATTGTCTGTGGCTTGAGGCAGAAATCTGGATTCATCAGGAACTTCCTGCTCCCCAACCAATAATCACCAAGTCCTTTTGTATCATCCAATGTTATGTAACACATCACCCCAAAACAATAGCTCAAAACAACTTAGTCTGGGTGGCTCTCCTGGTCTCTCCTAGGCTCACTTCCGCAGCTGTATTCCCCTGGCTGTTGTCTGGGCTCAGCTGAAACAGCTGGGTTCCTCCACATGGTCTTCCATCTTCATAATATGGTAGATGGTCTCTGGGTTTTAAAAAAGGAAAGCAAAAGTTCTAAGTTCTCTTGAAGCCTTGGCTTAGAACTCCCCAGTCTAATGAATGTGACTTCTGTCACATTCTTTTAGTCAAAGCAAATCACTAGGCCAGCGCAGAGATAGTGGGGAAATAAATAGCTTCTGATGGGAGTCGCTTGAAATATTTGTGGCACCACCTTCTATCAGGTTGAACCAAATGAAATGGGACTGTCGGACAGCTGTTGACCTATAAAAGTGGCACTTTCAGGATGTGTTTTACAGAGAAACTTGCTAATGTGTTAACAAATGAAAACATGGAATATATTTTACACATATTATCCCCAATCACTTTTTCATACATTTTTTTGTACTCATTATAAACTACTCTTTAGACCTTTGTGGGCCAAATACAAACTTAGTCTGGCTCCTGCCATTATTTTTATTTTCTGAATCCTTACAACATCCCTCTTCCCATTCCCCTCCCGTTGCTTCCTGCACACAGAGGCAACATGAAGGAAAAGGAGTTCCTACAGCAGAGCCACCATCCTATCAGGCCTACTCCTACCACTGGCACAAGCAGTATAAATCCCTGTACCCATTCACCAGAAGAAATGACGCCAAGAGACAGGTGTGTCCATGAGAGATGGTCAATTTGTTGATCACTAGTTCATTCATTGATTTCATTCACTAGCTAATTCAACAACTGTTTAAGGTGTCCCTGCTCTGGGTGAGATGCTGGGGAACCAAATGTGAACAGAACAGGTAGGATCCCCACAGGATTCCCCGTTGAACGATGAAGCTGAAATAATCATGTGATCAGGTAATTCCATGGAAGATGCAGTTTAAGCTCACCTAGGCCCAAAGGGCTAGTTAGAAAGTGCCCCAGGAAGGGGTCCCAGGAACACTGGCCCTTCACTCTGCCCTTAGTTTTTGGTTTTCTTGCCCAGTGCTTTCTGAAACTGGGTTGCCCTGAATTCAGATCCTAGATTTGCCACTCGTCAGGTCATATGATACCTTGGAAAAGTTTACTTCTCTGAACCTTAATTTCCTTATTTGTAAAATGGAAATAACGGTAGCGGGATCCCTGGGTGGCGCAGCGGTTTAGCGCCTGCCTTTGGCCCAGGGCGCGATCCTGGAGATCTGGGATAGAATCCCACATCGGGCTCCCGGTGCATGGAGCCTGCTTCTCCCTCTGCCTATGTCTCTGCCTCTCTCTCTCTGTGACTATCATAAATAAATAAAAAATTTTAAAAAAAAGGAAATAACGGTAGTAATGTTTTGAGAATCAACTTAGGTGATACAAGTAAATTGTGCAGAATGCATTAAAAAATGTTAATGCATTAGGTTCTCATTGACCAGTCTAGGTGAATCTAACTTAGGGGAGGAAACTGTTTAGTCTGCAGTTTCAGGAGAATATGTCCTTCTCAGTCTCTGGTCTGGAGAAGAGTGGGATTCTCAGTGGCTTCTGGCTGGATACCTTCTTTTTAGAATATAAATGCTAACTGAGAGGGAAGTGACAGCCTCGACAGAAATTCCTATCACCCAGAGCTGCCCTAAAACAGCTGGCTGGTTTCATTATCCCAGCTGGATCTTCAGCCTAGACCTCCCTGAGAGCACTCACCTGGACAAAGCAAATGCCCACCAGCCTTCCCGTAAGTACAGGTGGGGGAACTAGAAAGAAATTTCAGTAAACACCCCACATTGGGTGTAGAGATTACTTAAAAATAAAATATTCGGGGCTCCTAGGTGGCTCAGTTAAGGATCTGCCTTCAGCTCAGGTCATGATCCAGGAGTCCTGGGATCGAGCCCTGCATTGGGCTCCCTGCTCAGCAGGGGAGTCTGCTTCTCCCTGTCTCTGCCTCTACTCATGCATTCTCTCTCTCAAATAAGTAAATAAAATATTTTTAAAATAAATAAAATCTTGGGGCACCTGGGTGGCTCGGTCTGCCTTTGGCTCAGGCCATGATCCCAGGGTCCTGGAATCAAGCCCCACATCGGCCTCCCTGAGGATGGGCAGCCTGTTTCTCCCTCTACACTTGTGCTCTCTCTTGCACACTCTCTCTCTCTCTTTAAAAAAATAAAAAATAAAATAAAAACAAAATCTTAAAATATAGGTATATATAGAATATTTCTATTACCCAGGAAGGTCCCTTGTGTCCTGACTTTCCCTCCTCCAGATGCATCACCCACAGATGATTGTTCTCACTACAGATTTCCCTTTTCCTATTTTTTACTTGCATATACATGCAGTATTGCATCTCTTATGTCTGACATCTTTCCTTCAACACAATGTCTCTAAGACTGACTTTACTTCATTATGTGTAGTTTATTCGTTTTTATTGCTAAGTGTAATTCACTGAATAAATATACCATAATTTGTTTACCCATTCTCCTGCTGATGGACATTTGGGATTCCCGTTTGGGGCTATTTTGACGAAGTTTCCTATAAACATTTGTACAAGTCTTTCTGTGGACATATGTTTCATTTCTCTTGGATAGTAACTAGGAGTAGATTTGCTGGGTCACAGAATAGATATAGGTTTAACTTTTTGAGAAACTGCCAAACATACAAAACCACTGTGCCATTTTACATTTTCTGCAGAAGCTGATGAGAGTTCCAGAGGCTGACAAAATTTCTTTGATTGACCAAACTCCAGTTAGGTTCTTAAACCTTCTCCTAAACCTGTCTGTGCAATTCTTTGTAAAATCCAATTTTAGCAAGAACCCCCCACAATTGGTATCTGGTCACCCTCAGTATCTGACAGGGTATTCATCGTTGCACCATCCCTCAGGTGATGTCTGAGGTCTTACCTTTCATCAGCAAGAATTCTGTTAGGTTAGCTTAACTAGAATTCCCCTACACCTTGATGTTTCCTCTTAGTAATCTTCCTTCCACTGACCACTCTCCACCACCACCACACTGGTCAACTATAAATCCCCTCACTCATGTTCTATCTCACCCTCACTGGAAAATACCATTGCAGTGGTCCCCATATCTATCCCGAGTGCCTCGCCATCTCTACCATGTCACTGAGTATTTTTTTTAACAGTCCACGTTCTTATCAACACATGGCAGGTCAATATTTAATTTTAGCCATTCTAGCTTTGCGCAGTGGTATCTCACTGTGACTTTGATTTGCATTTTCTTAATAGCCAGTGATTTCCAGCTATTTTTTATGTGCTTACTGACCACAACGGTGTCCTCTTTTGCAAAGGGTTCAAGTCATTCAAACATTGACATAAAAAAAAAATTAAAAACATTCTGACATAAAGGTTACCAAAAAAGTGTCCTAAAGTAATACATTTTGAACTAAAAAATCTCTATTAATTTACTCAACCACACATTAAAAAAATATTTATCAAGAGGCTACTATGAGTCATGAATTTTTCTAGATTCACAAATTAGCGGTGATCAAGACAGATAAGATTGTTGTTGCTCTTGTTCAGAGAGTTCATAATCTGGAGTGGGAGGCAAAAAGCAAACAACAGGATTTTTGATGGTGTGGAGATGCTGAGTATCAAATAAAATGTTGGAAACAACTTCTATCCATCCCCAAGGTGAAAGGAGGAGGGGAGGTAGGTAACTTATGTGATATGAGTTTGATGGACTATTATAATGCCATGGAACCAATAATCATAACATGAAAACATACTTAGTCATAGAATAAAACGGTGAGATTTAAAACGGTATGTGCACTTTGATTAGGTCTACGTAAAGCACCCATACTTTGATGCATATGGGCGAAAACTGGGAAGACCCAGGAGAAAAATAAAACGCTGCTGTGTGTATTTCCGGAGTGGTGGCCCTGAGGGGCCCTGAGGGCTCTGGGTTTCGTTTTGATTGTTGTCGTCTTACAGGCTACCGCGCGTTCTTAACGGCAGAAACCGGCGTCTACGACATTCTCATGGGACTTACCTTCGTCTAAGGCTTTAGAATTCAGAGACACGTGACAGGCTTAGGATAAAACATGGGTTACTTCAGGGTGAAGTACGGCAATAAATAAAATAAGGACTAAGAATTTGACCTCGCAAAGCCCAGGGACTTCAAAGCACGACTAGGTTGCTCCCGGGAAAGTCTGAGGCAGACGCGCGGTGGCGCACGACCGGAAGAGGCGACGCCGCAGCGCAGGCCCCGAGCGGCGCGGAATAGTGACGCATTGCGCCGGGGGGGAACTGACGTCACTTTCGGCACGGCCGCTTCCGGTCCGCGTGGGGGAGGTTCTCGCGCAGCCAGCGGATTCAGGGCAGGTGCTGGCGCGCTTGCGGTGGGTTTTTCAGCGAGTCGGCCTCCCTTCCCGCCGGATCATGGCCACCGACTCGTGGGCCCTGGCAGTGGACGAGCAGGAAGCGGCTGTCAAGTCGGTCAGTGTCTTCAGCTCCCGCGGGGCGAACGTAGCAGGGGCCCGAGCGGCCCCTGAGGCGATCCCGGGGAGCTCCCTGGGCTGGGCAGGCTTGTGGCCCACACTTCCCTAGAGTTTGCCGCCAGGAATCCCTATCTTGGTTTTGCGACTGGGGCGGAAGAGACCAAAGTCAGGCTTGTTTTGTTCATCTAGGCCAGTTAAAGACTTTTTTGCCCTGTAGCAAAATTGTTCCCACTTTATATGTTTTCTTTCTTCTGTGGCACCTCGTTCTCGGGGAGATTGTAGGGAAATTTAGACGCCGATTCTCTTGTTTATCTGTTTTCTGAGTGATTCTGTGCTAAACTTTTTTTTTTTTAAGCTTTGTGCTTAACATGGTTGACAGTTTGTAGCTCTTGGCAGAATAACAGGTTCAGGTTTAGTGTTTCAATCTACTGCACAAGTCGGTGGGAGGCCCTACAAATTGTTTCATTGATGTTTGAAGTGACATTTAATTTCATATATTGGCTCTTTCATTAATGAAGATCCATTCAGCTGGAAGGTAATTAGAGTGTAAACTGGCTTTCTGTTCTTTTATTTCAGTTTAAGTTTGTTTAGTGATGATGCACTAATGATTTTAATAGTTTGTGTTTGGTAGTCTGAAGTCTTATGAACTTTTTAATGGATAAGTTGCATTTCTTAGGCAGTCATCCTTGATTGCATTGGAAGGATTATCAGTTTGTGAACAAATATTATGGGTTAAATCCAGCAGAGTATAGGAAGAATCTTTACAGTCTAGTTCGGAAGGTGAGCATTGTGGGAAGTGCCGTGAAAATAGTAAGAATATCGTGATAAATGGTCTCTGAGTGGGGAGAGGACGTTTATAAGTAGGAAATGGGGAAATGCCTTGTGAAGAAGCTTACATTTCAAATGGATATTAGAGAATGAATCATTTAAGATAGAAGTGAATGACATTTTAGGAAAAAATGCACAAAGGTGCTGAACTTGTCTAGAGAGCAAGAATTGGAACTCATTTTTTTGCCACAGCCTAAGTTTACCAGTAAGTGGTAGAAGCTGTACAGAAAATACTGTAGAGTATACTTTGCAACCTTAACTGAGAACTTAAAGAAGAGAGACTTGACTTGTTTGATTTGGTGATTTTTCAGGAGGATATTGACAAGATTAGATCTGAGAACTGGCAAGATTTATTGAACTCGGAGAATATTAGGAGTGATTCCTAAGGAAAGGCAATCAGTATGGAAGTTACTCTAGCCTAGAGAAGGGCATATGTTGTTGGGTGGTGGAAGTGACAATGAAGGGACGGATTCAAGAGAGAATTGTGGCGGTATAAAAAGTAGGATCTAGGAAGATGAAGTTACTGTTTATAGTCAGGAGCCCACCAGGCGGTATTAGTAAAATGCTAATAACAGAACTAGGGAAATGGGAGGATGGGCAGATATGCTATGGAGGATGGTGAGTTCAGGTTTGGCTATTCTGAAGTTGAGGACATCTTGGTAAGTACCTATCTGTGTTGGGAGCCTCCAAGAATAGTCCAGGTTCAGTGATTTCCTGGGAGAATTCACAGAACTCAGCATATAATTGTATTCGCAGCTATGATTTATTACAATGAAAAGATACAAAAAAATTAGCAAAAAGAAAAGGCACATCTAGCAAAGTCTAGAGAAAACCAGGCACCATCTTCCAAGAGCCCTCTCCTAGTGGATTTACACATTCATCTTAATTAGAGTTTAAGTCCTGCAGCAGCTTATTGTAGCAACACATGTGAAGTATTGTCAGGAAAGCTCATTATAGACTCAGTTCTCAGGGTTCTTATTGGGGGGGGGGCTGTCACAAAGCCACCTTCTGCCTAGCGTGTACCAAAATTCCAGACTTCCAGAAGGAAAGCAAGTGTTTAACATAAATTACATGTTTTTACAAACAGTTTAGGCATAATGAACCGCTCGTCAGTTCTAGGAATAGTGGGAACCCTTCTGAAGTCCATGTCCCCAGATGCCAGACAGGGGCCAGCCTTGCAAGCTGACTCTTCTAAGGATAGGAAACTATTAGCTGTGTTGGTTTTCTGCATAGCAACTATGCAGCATTTGAAAATGTGGCGTTAGAGGTCAAGAGAGGAATCAGGACCACTAATGAAACTGGCTGTTTTCCATAAAGAAATTGTTCTTTTCTTTTCTTTTCATTCAGAGAGAGAGAGGCAGAGACACAGGCAGAGGGATAAGCAGGCCCCATGCAGGAAGCCTGATGTGGGACTCGATCCCAAGTCTCCAGGATCACACCCGGGGCTGCAGGCGGTGCTAAACTGCTGCGCCACCAGGGCTGCCCTCCCTAAAGAAATCAAAGAGTATCACAAAGGATAAGGCTCTGGCACTGTAGGAATCCGACTGTGGATTGGGGATTCCAGACTGTCATGTTTGCGTTGTCAGCCCATCCCAAGATTAGTTGGCTTCTGCAGATTCCTGTGTATTAGCCTAAAAATGAGGGTTAATCAGTGGATAAGTTCTGGTATAAAATACCTTCTCTGTTTCAGGCCGACCTTCCTATTGGCCTTCAGGGAAAGGGTGTCCATCTCCAGTAGTGTGTTGATCTGATTTTTCTCTGGAAGACCTGGTTTCTGAAGAGATCAGATGAATATCCCCACTGTGTGAGGGTAGACTTCCTTTTCCCAAAGACCAAGAACAGTCAGTTGAGGGGAGGGGGAATGGAGGAGGAAATATTTGTCAACACCCTCAGGAATCATTGGTGGTCTTCATAAGGATAATGAAGGATTACATCAGTTAAGGAATCATGTTGGGGGCAGGGCTTGGGGTCCAGGTCTTGGTTTGGGGTACTTCTCTGAACCTGACAACATACCTTAATAATACTCTTTCTATATCAATACTCTTACTCTTAAGAATACCTTGAACATGGAAAAATAGTTCTCATGAGATTGGAGACTTCATTATGAATGTATAAATTATTGCTCGGCTTGCATTTCATTTGCAGCTTAATAAGCAGGTTTGCATTGACCAGGATTGGTGACCAAAATAAATTAAAAAAAAAAAAATCCTTTGGTTCCAGTTTCTGAAATATTCTAAATCAGGAACATGAATTTGTTGATTCTTTCATCATAATAACTTGTTTTACCTAACTTCTAGTGGAGGTGATTGATAAAGCAAGAAAGCAGGCTATAATTTATTTGCTAAATACAAAAATAAGTAAAATATGTTAAGAAAATAATGGTAAAAAAATTTATTTGCTAAGTGTTGCATTAATACAGCATGGGTTTCAGGACTGAAAAGAAAGCTGAGATACTTACATAGCATTGTTCTTTACCGTATGTAGAAGGGAACTGTGAAAGCATGTGCCATTGAAAGGCTATCATAGGTATGTAATGAAGGTGGATGTTCTAGAAAGCGTAAGTTGGAAAACTAGAGGTTTGAGACTGCTGTCAAACTTTCTTCCCATTTGCTCTGTTTAGTCCACCCTTGCCCCCTCCTTTTTAAGGTTCTTGAAGATGTGAAATGAGGTCTTCGCCCAAACTTGTAGGAATTCTGCTTGAGCAGGACAACTCCTTGAATATAGGTGCTGAACTAGTCCTGCTACACTTTCACTAGGGAACTTCTCTTTGCTCAAGAGACTTCCTTTGATTGGGTCATCTGCCTAACTGTGTTTCCTTTTATTCCTGTTCAGATGAGTAATTTGCAAATCAAGGAAGAAAAAGTCAAACCAGATACCAATGGTGAGTCACTTGTAACTACCTGGATACAAGCTACACATGCTCTTCTGCTTTGCAGTAGTAGCTGCAGTGTGAAAAGGCACTTTCATTTAGCGTAATATTTGGCAAATGACAGCACTGTATTTGAGATCCAGTAAATTAAGTTGCATTACCAAAGAGAACACATTAGTTTTCCAGATTTTATCTTTTTTTTTTTTTTAAGATTTTATTCATTTATTCATGAGAGGCACACAGAGAGAGGCAGAGACACAGGCAGAAGGAGAAACAGGCTCCATGCAGGGAGCCTGATGTGGGACTCGATCCTAGGACTCCAGGACCATATCCCGGGCCAAAGGCAAGCGCTAAATCACTGAGCCACCCAGGGATCCCCTCCAGATTTTATGTAGTCTCAGACTCCTACAAGTGTTCGTTTGATAGTATTTCTTTAAGTTTTTTATTTAATTTTTTTAAAAAGTTAATCTGGGCTCAAAACTTAAAAGTCTAAACAGATGAAAGGCTTCCTTTTTCTTCCAGACTGTCATTTACCCAATTCTTACTCTCTAATAGTTTGCAAGGGCTGCCCATGCCAAGTGTCACAAACTGAGTTGTTTAAACAATCGATGTATTATCTCATAGTTCTTGAGGCCATAAGTGAGATCAAGGTGTCAGTGGGGTTGGTTCCTTCTGAAGGTTTCAGAACTTACATTCAGGTCTTCAATCCATTTTGAGTTATTTTTGTGTGTGAGTAAGATAGTGATCCAGTTCTATTCTTTTACATGCAGTTGTCCATTTTTCCCACCATTTATTGAAGAGACTGTCCTTTCCCTCTTGTAGATTTTTTTTTTAAAGATTTATTTATTGATTTATTCATGAGAGACACAGAGATAGAGAGGCAGAGACACAGGCAGAGGGAGAAGCAGGCTTGCCACAGGGAGCCCTATGTGGATCCCGGGATCACAACCTGAGCTGAAGGCAAAACACTCAACCCATGAGTCACCCAGGCATCCCTCTTGTGGATTCTTGACTCCTTTTTCATAAATCAGTTGACCATATGTGTGAGGGTTTATTTCTTGGCTCTCTGTTCTGTTCTACTGATTAATGTGTCTGTTATTTGAGTACCATAGTGGGTTTTTTTTTTGGGGGGGGGGTTAATTATATAGCTTTGTAATATAGTTTGAAATCAGGGAATATGATGCCTCCAGCTTTGTTTTTCTTTCTCAAGATTGCTTTGGGGGAAAATTGCTTTAGTTCTTTAGGATTTTTTGTGGTTCCATACAAATTTTAAAATTCTTATATTTTGGGGCACCTGCGTGGCTCAGTGGTTGAGTATCTATCTGCCTTTGGCTCGGGTCGTGGTCCTGGGGTCCTGGGATTGAGTCCCCCATCAGGCTCCCCACAGGGAACCTGCTTTTCCCTCTGCCTATGTCTCTGCCTCTCTTTCTTATGAATAAATAAAATATTTAAAAATAAAAAAAATAAAATTCTTCTATTTCTGTCAAGAATGCCATTGGAATTTCGATTGGGATTGCATTGGTTCTGTGTATTACTTTTGGTATATGGACATTTATTCTTCCAATCCGTGAAGGAGGAAAATCTTCCTATTTGTGTCTTCAATTCTTTCATTCATTAATGTCTTACAGTGTTTAGTGTATAGGTCTTTCACCTCCTTAAATTTATCCTATGTATTTAATTATTTTTAATGCAATTATAAATGGGATTTTTTTTCTCTTTTTGATAGTCATTATTAGTATACAGGAACACCAGATTTTTGTTTATCAATTTTTGTGTCCTGCAACTGTACTAAATTCATTTATTAATTCTAACGGTATTTTGATGCCATTTTAGATTTTTTATTTTTTTATTTTTTTATTTTTTTTTTCATTTTAGATTTTTTAAATATACTATCGTGTCATCTGCAAATATTGACAGTTTTACTTTTTCCTTTTCAAGTTGGATGCCTTTTATTTCTTGTATCCACGTACATTTTATATAATTATTGATATGGAGGGTTTGGTTAATCAGTTTTACTATTTGATTTGTCTCATAGTTTTTCTACCTCTTTTCTTAGCTTTTGAGTTAATTGAATATCTTAGAATTCAATATTAATTTATCTGTTGATATTTTAGCTATACTCTTTGCATTATGAGTGTTTTATAGATTTCTTCATATAAGTCTTGCATATTTTTTGTTTATTTTTAGGTGCAGGATTTCATCTTTTTAGTTACTATAATAAGATCTTTTCAGTTATATTTCTGCATTTATCAAAGCTACTGATTTCTATTTATTTACTTTGTACCTAGCTTTTTTATCTTTTACTAAGATATGTTATTTTGTAGTCATTTTTAAAATGATAATTAGTTTCATAGGCTTACAGTCCTTAATCCACAAAAAGTGATTGTTTTACCTCTTAATTTTTAATATCTTTATTTTATTTCTCATGTCTGTGTTTCCTAAAATAATAGTATATTTTAAAATAGGATAAGCAAGTCAGAAGCAATATATTCTTTTTTTTTTTAGAAGCAATATATTCTAATCACTCTGAAGTTAGCCAACATATCTAGAAAGTTGAAATTTTTAAAATTTCTTACTAAGAAAAAGAAATTTTCTTCCTAAATAAAAATTTCTTCCTGAACAAAAACCCATTGAATATAAAGAAATGCCAAATACTTAGATTTTGATCACGTATGTAAGATATAGTATTTATGTTGTCACCTTTTGGGTAGGTTTGATATTTGCCTTTCTTATTATGACACCTGTTTTCTTGTGTAGGTGTTATTAAAACCAGTGCTACTGCAGAGAAAGCAGAAGAAGAGGAAAAAGGTAATTACTTTTTAAAACTCTGTAGCAAGAAGCAGCATATGACCCAAGGTTTGCCTTTCTGGAGTTAGAGGCACTAGATTGAGGAGATGAGGAAGAATCACAAAGGAGATTGAGAAGAAGCAGTCAGTGAGATAGAAGAAGAACCAAAAGAGAGGAATATCCAGAAACCGGAAGAAGGAAGTGTTTCAAAAGTAGGTAGTCAAATATAGGTAATAAGTTGATTAAGAAGTTATCAAAATGGGCTGTTCACTTGATTTAGCAGTATAGAAGCCATTGGTGTACTCAAGAAGGGCCTTTGAGGTCAAGTGCAGAGGTTAAATACAAAAGCCTATTCAGTGTACATTCAGCCGAAGGGGAGGACAACGAGTGGGGACAGTGAGTATAGACAACTTTTTCAGGGAATGTCCCATAAAGGGGAGCAAAGAAATGGGGCAGCAAAGAAATAGGGATGGGAGGATAAAAGAGGAAGCAGGTTTATAATGTTAAATTATGTTAAAATGTGTGCACATGCGAGGGAGAATGTTCCAGTGAAGGAGGAAACTGATAATGCAAGATGGAGTCAATGTTGGGAGAAATATCCTTGTAGGCAAGAGGGGTGGGACCTGTTGTATCAGTGTAGGGGTTAGCCTTGAGCACAGGCTGTTCATCTCAGGTTTCCAGAGGGAACATAGAGATATGCACCCAGATGCGGGTGGGTGTGTTACTGCAGTGTGTGGAGGCACTTCTGATCACTTGTACTTCTTTGTGAAGGAAGACACAGGCTCATCAGATGAATGAGAATGTAGAGGAATGAGAAGAGAGGAAGATAAAAGTGGAGATCTAAGAAGAGTGAGTGGAGAATAGAAACATGAAGACTTAGAGGGCAGGTCAGCCCATTTGAGTCTAGTGGTCAAGAATTTTTTTTTTTTTTAAGATTTTATTTATAAGAGACACACAGAGAGACAGAGGTAGAGACACAGGCAGAGGGAGAAGCAGGAGCCTGACATGGGATTCGATCTTGGGATTCCAGGATCACGCCCTGGGCTGAAGGCAGGCACTAAACCGCTGAGCCACCCAGGGATTCTCTAGTGGTCAAGAATCTAGTGAGATCTGTCAGTGTGGTTGTTTTTATCCAGCCAAGCTCAGTTGCCCAGGTGCTGGTGCAGAGACAAGGAGAAAGATTTCATGAGGGTGGGTTTGCCAAATGAGTATGAAGACAACCTACTGGTTTCTTCCTGACAGAGGACAGAGCTGCCCAGTCCTTACTCAACAAGCTGATCAGAAGCAACCTTGTGGATAACACAAACCAGGTGGAAGTCCTGCAGCGAGATCCAAACTCCCCACTCTACTCAGTGAAGTCTTTTGAGGAGCTTCGGCTGTGAGTGTCTGTTCCCTGGAACGGCTGTTCCTTGTCGGTCCCTCCTTTCTAAAACTTAGCATCTCAGAGATCTTTTGGGAATTTTACTTTTTATTTTTAAGAATCTTAATGTATTTGCTTCTTTGACTAGTTAATAATTCACGTGATTTGAAAGTGAGAAAGTATGAAAAAGTTTACGGTGATGGTTTCCCTCCCACCCTTGTCTCTTGGCTACCCAGTTCTCCTCCTCTTGGGAGGGATTTTTAAATGACAGCGATTTATTCATCATAGCTGAAAGTCTTTTTTCTTTTATGCTCTTAGAACTTTCAATAAAATATTGGCTGACAGGTGATTTCTGGATGTCAGGAACATTTCTTATTAGGTAAGCCCTTTTGTTAGACTACAGGGTTTACGGTCTTAAGAAATTTTATCTGCTTTTACATAATCAAAAGAGCCTGTGCAGGATTCCCAGTACCTATAGTGGAAAGCAGCCTTGCATATTCCAGAATTAAAAAAAAAAAAATTCAGAACCCGGAATTAAGCCACAAGGGAGCATGTTTACAGCACTGTACTAAGAATCACTTCTAACTTCTTTTTATTTTGAAGGCAGGGATCCCTGGGTGGCGCAGCGGTTTGGCGCCTGCCTTTGGCCCAGGGCGCGATCCTGGAGACCTGGGATCAAGTCCCACGTCGGGCTCCCGGTGCATGGAGCCTGCTTCTCCCTCTGCCTGTGTCTCTGCCTCTCTCTCTCTCTCTCTCTCTCTCTCTCTCTCTGTGACTATCATAAAAAAAAATTTTTTTTTGAAGGCAAAATTATGGAAAGTCATACCAAGTTTTTTGTTTCCCTCAGCATATTAGTAAAGAAGTGTTTGTGAATCCTTGGTTTGTGTACAGGCTATTATGCTGGGTGTCATGAGTAACACAAGACATAACTACTGTTCTTGCTGCCTGCCAGGACCAGAATCATAGACGGAAAATAGCTGGTGAATGAGAATGTTGTAGAATTAATAGATTCTTTGCCTTTATCAGCAAAATCTATCGTATGTCCATTGTGGGCAAATAGAGGCCACATTTTGTCAGCTTATTACCACTGCTTTAGACTGAGACATTTAAAACATGAGAGCTAACTAAAACCAAATCAAGTCATCAATGAACTGATAGCTAAGTTTTTTAAAGTGAAGCTTTTTTTTTTTTTAATGTTTTCAGGAAATTGTATTTTTCTTCATGTATTTCCTCCATCAGGGGCTTCATTCAGCAAGTCTGTCATCTCTGCTTCTGTTTATAAACTATATCAGGGCAGTGAGATAGGCTTTTTTGTTTCCTGAAAGGACAGTTTGCTTTTCCAAGTATTGATGCTTTTTAAACCCCCTTTCATTTAAAGGACTTCAACCAGTGAGGAACTGTCCTCTCTGAAAAGTCTAGTTCTCTCTGATTTAGTCATTGTTGGATAGGCTAGAGGAAACAAAGAATGAAACCTAAGTTGCCTTGATTTGTTTTGTACTTAAAATTTTTTAATTAATCTGCAAAATAAGAGAAAAATAATGAACCCCTGGAAGCTCTTGGATCATTCAGATCTTCATTCAGTTGTGAATTTGTTTCCTTAGCAACCAAATCAAAATCTGCTGAGCTTCATAGCCTTTTCTTCAGAAGACACCAAAAGTTATGCTTTCAGAGGTCTTTGTATCTGAGAACCAACATATGCTGGAAGAATTTGCCCTTTAGAGAGCCTGTTAACTCCAAGGAAGGCTCAGAGAACAGAAGTCTTAACTTGGTTTGACTCTTCTTTACAATCTGGTGGGATTTTTTGTTGAATACCTTGTCAGTGTGGAGGTAGCAGAGAGCTTATCGTAAATGTGATGAAAGAGCAACTTTAATTGATATTTGTTGTACAGCTATACTTACATGAGCTGGTGCTTTCCTATTCTTGATTTTTGACTAGATATAATAATGAAATATGAGCGTTTGTAAAGTTCAGTATGGTAATTGAACACTTCTACCTTTTTACTTTAGATCAGCTTACTAGAAACTAGCTGAATCAATTTTCTTACTTCTTGATTGTCCTGGGTATTTACATAGCTGGCTTTGGAAGGACCATAGATTACAAAATGACTGTGGATCAATTAACATCTGCTCCAAGAAATTAAAACTGACTCTCGTTCCTTAAACGGACATCTAGGGACACCTGGGTGGCTCAGCAGTTGAGCGCCTGCCTTTGGCCCAGGGCATGATCCAGAAGTCCCAGAATTGAGTCCCATATCGGGCTCCCTGCAGGGAGACTGCTTCTCCCCCTGCCTGTGTCTCTGCCTCTTTGTCTCTCTCATGAATAAATAAATAAAATCTTAAAAAAAAAAAAGGACATCTATATCTTAGTGGTATAGTAAGCAGTATATTTTTAGATGTGTTTTTTATTATTCATTTTATGCAAATTATAAAATTTATATGAATTAATACATACCACTCTTGCAATATCCAGGGAACATTTGTCATCCAAGGCCAGTCATATTTGTGGATCTGCTGAAAGCATGAATATCTCCAAGAACAAAAGTTTGTATTCTCTGAATTGAGTAAGAGTTGCAGATTAAAATTTAGTAGAGAAAGATGGTGGCTTGGTTTCATTTTAGGTATTTTTTAAGGCATTGGAAAAACATGTCTGACAAAGATAGGAAGTGTTACTCTTTGTTAGATTTAGGGAAAGATAAAATTCTAAGCCTTTAAACAATTTGAACAACTAGGAATCTATCCTTTCTCTCCCTGGCTTCCTAGGAAACCACAGCTTCTCCAGGGAGTCTATGCCATGGGCTTCAATCGACCATCCAAGATACAAGAGAACGCATTACCCATGATGCTTGCTGAGCCGTGAGTATGCAGACCTCAAGTGTACTTCAGGATTTGATTTAATGTCCTACACTAATAAACTGTAATTATTCTTGAGAACAAGATGGCATGTTTGGGACAGCATGTTTCTTCAGGGAAACTTGAGCAAGTACAGAGGGTCAGTTGGAATTTGGTACAGTTTCTTTCTGCCTTTCCCACTTAACAGTAAAAACTGATGGGGGAGGGGAATCCCTGGGTGGCTCAGTGGTTTAGCGCCTGCCTTTGGCCCAGGGCGCGATCCTGGAGACCCGGGATCGAGTCCCACGTTGGGTTCCCGGCATGGAGCCTGCTTCTCCCTCTGCCTGTGTCTCTGCCTCTCTCTGTGTGTGTGTGTCTATGATGAATAAATAAAATCTTAAAAAAAAAAAAAAACTGATAGGGGTTCCTGGGTGGCTCAGTTGGTGAGCTTCTGACTCTTGGTTTCAGTTCAGTCATGGTCTCGGGGTTGTAAGATTAAGCTCCATGTAGGGCTCCTGAAAGAGAAGGAAGCACCTAGCTGGCTCAGTTGGTAGAACATGCAACTCTTGATCTCAGGATTGTGGATTCGAGTTCCATACTGGGTGTAGAGATTACTTAAAAAAATAAAAATAAAAATCTTTAAAACAAAACTGAAAGAGAAAGCTAATGGTGTTCTATGCAATTTAAATATCAGAGGTTTTTTTTTTTTTGAAGATTCATTTCTTGGGATGCCTGGGTGGCTTAGTTATTAAGCATCTGCCTTCGGCTCAGGGCGTGGTCCTGGAGTCCCGGGATCAAGTCCCACATTGGGCTCCCTGCATGGAGCCTGCTTCTCCCTCTGCCTATGGCTCTGCCTCTCTCTCTCTCTGTCTCTCTCTCTCTCATGAATACATAAATAAATAAAATATTTAAAAAAATAAACGATTCATTTCTTTATTAGCGAGGGCACACGTGTCAGCAAGCACAGGGAGGAGCAGGAGAGAGAAACTTTAGCAGAATACTCGCTGAGCTTGGAACCTGATGTGGGGCTTGATCTCATGACCCAAGCTGAGGCCAGACATTTAACCAACTGAGCCACTCAGGTACCTCTTAAAAATCAGGCTTTTAAAACTTTGAACATTTTTAAACTTACAAAAAAATGTCAAGAGCAATACTAAGAACATCTTAACCCTACCTGCCAAGAAATAAAACATGATCAACCTCATTGGCAGTTGAAGCCCCCATATACCCCTCTGTTCACATTCCCTTCCCCAACCCAAATAAGCATCATCCTGAAGCGGGTCATCGTTCTCTCACATTTCTTTACACTTCTACTACATATCTATCATGTTCCTTAGAATTTAAAGAGTTGTTTACATATTTTTAGACTGTAGATAATTGGCATCATATAATATGTAATAACCTTTTCTATTCAAATCTATTTTTTTGTTTGTTTAATAACAAAAATTCTATGTATTTCCATGACTGGTTTACATGAAGTAAAATGTGAACGTTCTCTCTAAAGGATGTTCAACTTGGTGTCTTGCATTTTCATAAAGAAGGGAAAGGGAACACACAGGGAGCCAAGCCCTGGAGATATATTATAGCTCAGCAGAAAATGTCTTCGGGGATTTGCCTTGGCACAGATTTTTCTCTGCCATGTTAATTTCTATGGGGCCCTTAGGGTATAAAACTAGGGCACTTTAGCTGTGCTGGAGTCTAGAGTGAAGATTTCCTGGTATGAACCCATCTAAATCATTATGTCCCTTAATATTTAAGCAGTTTTTTAACAACACATAAAAAAATTTATCATTGTCCTTAATGCAGATTAAATGTGAATTTAATTTAATGTGAATTAAAGAGAAAAGATTCCATATTCCTACCATCCAGAAAGAGCATTTTGACACTGTACTGTGTTTAATGAGTTTTCATTTCTGTCCTTCCTTGATCCAGCCCACAGAACCTGATTGCCCAATCTCAGTCAGGTACTGGTAAAACAGCTGCCTTTGTCCTGGCCATGCTCAGCCGAGTGGAACCAGCAGAGAGATACCCTCAGGTAAGGGCTGGAGGATCCCCAGGGCCCTGGCTTACCTGCCCTAGGAAAGGCAGTGCTATCTGGTGGGTAGTTAATGAGGGTGCCCCTAAAGGCGTCTCTGAACGTTTCCTGTGCCTCAGACTGTGGCTCAGGCAGAGCCAATTCATGCACTAGGCCACAATCTGGGGAGAATTTATTCAGAAGCAGCAGCCTCAAACAGTGGCTCTGAAGGCATTAACCCAGCCAGAGCTCTCTGCTGAAGGCTTGGGTCTGCAGCTGAAGAGTGGGCCTGGTTGGAGAGGATGTGGTTCCCTGCACTTTTGAGTGGTAATAAGACCAGCATATTGTTCCTTTTGGGCCTGTTGTCTATTACTAAAAGGCTCCTCTAAACTCAACCTTTATGATCTTCCTGTCAGTGTCTGTGCCTCTCCCCAACATATGAGCTGGCGCTTCAAACGGGAAAAGTGATTGAGCAGATGGGCAAATTTCATCCAGAACTAAAGCTTGCTTATGCTGTTCGAGGCAATAAATGTGAGTATAAAGGGGTGAGACCTAAGCAGTGAGCAGGATAGGGTAGTTGGGTATTTGAATATTGAAGATGTGATGACGATGTTAAACTTTCTGGTTCACGTGACCTTAGGACCCACTGCAATGCTTTCAGCAAATCTGTTTTAAACTTGCTATTTAATAGTCCTTTCTGCTCTTAAAAGAGGATTTTGAGTTGTTAGGAAAATCTTTGTATGCGTCACAGAGTTTTTAAAGTCTGGTGTTCTTCACTGAGAAAATAGGATTTTGAATTCAGCATCCAGAATTCTGGAAACTACTAACAAGGTAGTAGTAGGTCTGAGGATGGTAGGTTGGGATCATATTCCTTTGTTTAAAAACAAGCTCAGCTTTAGTAAGAGTAAACTAGGAGTATATACAGATAACTTGGTCCTATTGAAAATAGAAATCCTTCTACCAATTTTTTCTCCCATGTGTTCTACAGAATGTAATGTAAAAAAACAAGGACTAAGATGGAGATGAGGGGCAGGTAGAAAACCGATCATTAGAAAGCTATCAGGGTATATAAAACCTCAAGTCATTAAGAAAAAAGCAAGCAGTCTAAATAGGAAAGAAGCCCAATTGAACAGACACGTCACAAAACAAGGGATTCAGAGGGCCAGTAAATATGAAAAGGTGATCAATACACCTCATTTGTCATCAGGGAAATGTAAATTAAAACCACTATATGCCTCTTAGGTGGGCAAAAATGAAGAAGTCTGACAATACTAAGTGTTGATGGAGACCTACAAGAACTGGAATGCCCGTGTACTCCTGGTGGGGCGTATACGCTAGTACTTTCTGGAAGCAGTTTGTCTTTGCTTAGAAAAACTAAAAAGAGACCTCCCTTTGACCCAGCAGTTTGTAATTGCCTGGAGCAATGGTTCTTGAACTTTTTGGTTTCTTACACTCTTAAACATTATGAGGACCCCACAGCATTTTTGTTTATACAGGTTTTATCTGTTGATATTTGCCATTTTGGAAGCTAAAATTGAGAAATTATACTTCTAAATAATATGAAGAAAATTTGGCCTTTCTGATAATTTTAGGTACCTTTTTTAGGTGCTACACCAAAACATAACAAGTGGTAATTACTTAAGAATTAGTTCCAGTATGGAATCTGAAATCCTGTTACTGAACTTTTCATACTGTTAAATTAAAATACCTTGGTCTTTTGGAAAATTCTGTCTTACTGAGTTACACTGATCTTCCAGACGTTGAGACATCTCATTATACAAACTTTTTAAATTGTCTGCGCAAATATTACCACCAAACTCATCAGAGTTTATATATATCAAGAAACTCAAACTTAATGGCACATACAAATCTACTAAAACTCTCATTCTAATTTTCTCTTGAAAGTTTAAATGTTACTGTGGCAGCAAATACAGTGGATTGTTTTCATTGAAGAAACAGCCTGTTCATTTTCAAGAAAGTGGATATCAGATTCCCAACTTCATTTTCTATAGTTTATCAGTCAACTGAGAGAAATAACTAAGTTCAGCTCACCACACAGTCACAGAAGAGCTTTTCCTGGAGAAAACCATCATGCTTCAGCATGCAGCAAAACTACTTTATCCGAAAGTTATTAGGTTGATTATGTCATTTGTGTGTTTATTTGATGTCTCACAATGGTGGGTACATCTAAGTGTAGATACCAGAATCTTGTAACAACATATAACTTCTTAAGATTTTGTAATAAGATGGGACTTCACTGTGTATGGAGGATTAATAGATTAGCTATATTTAATGTATTATTTTTAAAGGTTCAATTTTGACTTAGAGGCAGTGGACATTGAGAACTACATTTGAGTTAATTCAAAATTTTTCCAATGGATAACTGATGAATTTCTAATGAAAGGCCCTTCTCCTTAAATTTTGTTTTTAAAATAGTTTATCCTTTCAACTTGTGAATGTATTATGTGGTAGAAACTTTTTTCTCCCATATCCCCAACCACCTAGTTCTCCATTCTGTAGGCACTCAGTACTAACCAGCTTCTCATGTGGTGCACCAGAGATATTGTGTGGCTGCAGGCACATCATGTCTGTGTGTGTGTGTGTGTGTGTGTGTAGTATGTAAAGGTGTACACTTCATACATGTATTCGTTTTTTGCCTCTTGGTATACAAACTGCTTTGCAACTTTTTTTCACATTTGATAATGTATTTTGGAGATTTTTCCTTATCAGTTCCTAAGTAGTTTTTTACTTTTCTTGGCATCATCCATTGTGTGTACCATACTTTGCTACCGTTCAATGCCGGCATAGCCTTGTGTATTTGTTATCTTACACGTTAACATATATACAGGTTTCATTCCTAATCATGGAGTATTGGTCACAGACTATGCACATTAGTAATTTTAATAGGTGGTTGTACCAGTTTCAACTCCAGCAGCTATAATTTGAGAGTAATGTGTTTTTTAGCACATGTACTTAGGAAGACTGTCTATATTAGAATGTCTAACTAAAGCTCACTAGGCCAGGATCCTGAGACTCAAAACTACCAGTTGAAGAGAAAATCTGTGAACCGTGAGTGAATGTATGATGCAAAGTGAGTAAGAGTAATGCCAAGGAGAATGAGTGGGATAATGCTGAATTACAGGAGGAAACAGAAGAGAGACATGGCACTTACTGAGAATTCACTGCATAGGATTGAATCCTGACCACTATGCTGGGACGTAGGTGCCATTGTACGACTTTACAATAGAAGAATCCAAGACTTATGGATAACACTCTTGTGTTTTGACATCTGGAATTAACTTGTTTTACTCACTCTGGAAGGATGGGCAAGGCTTTGATTTCCAAAACTGGTTTGCCATGGAAATACCCACGGAAAATGTCTTGTCTCCACAGTGGAAAGAGGTCAGAAGATCAGTGAGCACATTGTCATTGGCACCCCTGGGACTGTTCTGGACTGGTGCTCCAAGCTCAAGTTCATTGACCCCAAGAAGATCAAGGTGTTTGTTCTGGATGAGGCTGACGTGATGATAGCTACTCAGGGCCACCAAGATCAGAGCATCCGCATCCAGAGGTAGGAACTCTTGAGCCAAGAGGAACTTCTCAGCCTCTTGATCTGCACGTAAAAATCTTGTTCACTGTATCTCCTCCTGCTATATCTAACCCCTCTTCTTTCTCCAGCTGGGTTATTTGCTTTTAGAACCTTCAGCAGCATTTGTTTGATGGGCCATATCCTTGTCAGCACTGACTATGGGTTGAGGAAGGAGATTTAGGGAATCTAACACCAGCCCCGTCCCTGTTCCATGACTGCTCTCGCCTCCTCCCTGCTGTTCTCCTCCCCCTTCTGCCACTCTCCTGGGCATGTGGATCACCCAAGCCCGGGGCAGCTGTCTTCTGTTCCTTCCAGGGAAAGACTCAGGATCATGCCACATACCTGGGTCTTCCCTTGCAGGATGCTGCCCAAGAACTGCCAGATGCTGCTTTTCTCTGCCACCTTCGAAGACTCTGTATGGAAATTTGCCCAGAAAGTGGTCCCAGATCCAAACATTATCAAACTCAAGCGTGAAGAGGAGACACTGGACACCATCAAGCAGTATTACGTCCTGTGCAATAACAGAGATGAGAAGTTCCAGGCCCTGTGTAACCTCTATGGGGCCATCACCATCGCTCAGGCCATGATCTTCTGCCATGTGAGTAGCAGTGGCAGCAGCAGGCCTGCTGGGGGAGTAGTTGCCCTGGAGGAGGTGCCTGCCCCTCCTTGCAGCCAGCTCCAGCTTGGTGCTGAGGAGGACCAGAGGCCCTGTGTGGCCGGAAAGGAATGGTTTATAAAGACGTAGGATAGTGCTGTCTTAATATCCTAAGGTAGGGATCCCTGGGTGGCGCAGCGGTTTAGCGCCTGCCTTTGGCCCAGGGCGTGATCCTGGAAACCCAGGATCGAATCCCACGTCAGGCTCCCGGTGCATGGAGCCTGCTTCTCCCTCTGCCTATGTCTCTGCCTCTCTCTTTCTCTCTGTGTGACTATCACAAATAAAATTTTAAAAAAATATATATCCTAAGGTATACATGGCTTAAAAATAGAGTTCCTAAGGGACTGGCTGGCTCAGGCAATGGAGCATGCACCTCTTTTTTTTTTTTTTTTTTTTTAATGATAGAGAGAGAGAGAGGCAGAGACACGGGCAGAGGGAGAAGCAGGCTCCATGCACCGGGAGCCCAACGTGGGATTCGATCCCGGGCCTCCAGGATCGTGCCCTGGGCCAAAGGCAGGCGCCAAACCGCTGCGCCACCCAGGGATCCCGAGCATGCACCTCTTGATCTTGGGGATAATAAGTTTAGGTCCCTTGTTTGACCTAGAGCTGACTTTAAAAAAAAAAAATAGAGTCTCTATTTGTAGGTGATATGTTACTAGACAACACAAGAGAATCAACTGATAATTGTAGGAAAAATAAGAGACTAAATATAGTAGCTGGTTACAATATTAATATAAGTTGTTTTCTAGTCTCAAACAGCAAATTTTTTTTAAGATTTTATTTATTCATGAGAGAGAGACAGGCAGATGCAGAGACACAGGCAGAGGGAGAAGCAGGCTCCCTGCAGGGAGCCTGATGTGGGACTGGATCCCGGATCTCCAGGATCACGCCCTGGGCTGAAAGTGGCGCTAAACCACTGAACCACCTGGGCTGCCCTCAAACAGCAAATACTTAAAAAAATAGAAGGCTAATAACTGATCATTTGTTCACTCATTTATAATTCAAGGATGTATAAAACAGGAATGCACAAATAGATTAGTCACTGTACTTTTTGCTCTGCATACAGTAACATAGTAACTTAAAAATAAAACATTGTCCTTGTGTAAAAAAAAAAAAAGGAAGGCTAGATCCTATTAATAGGAAAAAAATCAAGAATAAATATTCAAGATACTTGAAGAACACTTCAAAAATGTTGTTAAGGAAAAAGAAAACAAAAATCATGTTAAGGGATATTAGAATGAGACAAATCTTACTCTGTTACTAGAGGACTTGTCATTGAAAAAGTTTTTTTTGTTTTTTTTTTTTTTTTTAAGATTTTATTTATTTATTCATGGGGGACATACAGAGAAAGAGAGGCAGAGACCTAGGCGGAGGGAGAAGCAGGCTCCATGCAGGGAGCCCGATGTGGGACTTGATCCCGGGTCTCCAGGATCAGGCCCTGGGCCGAAGGTGGCGCTAAACTGCTTATCCATGTGCTCACATGTGTGACACATCTGTGCTTTTTGGTTTTGGTGAAGTTATTATTTTTAATTTTTTGGAAAGATTTTACTTATCTGAGAGAGAGTGCACGTGTGCGTGAGCATAGAGGAAGAGGAAGAAGCAGACTCCCTGCTGAGCATAGAACCCAATACAGGGCTTCATCCTAGGATTCTGGGATCATGACCTGAGCTGAAGGCAGACGCTTAACCCACTGAGCCACCTAGGTGCCCCTTAGTGAAGTATTTTAAAGTTAGTTGTAGAGATCATGAGAGTTTACACCTAAGTACTTCACAAGAATGAGACATGCTGCTACCTAAGCCCAATACCATTGTCTACCTTTAACAGTGACATAATATTATCCCCTGTCTAGTCCATCCATATCCCATTTTCCTCACTTGTACCAAAAACCTTCTTTATTGTTTTTGGTTGGTGGTGTTAAATGTAAGAGCCAGTCAGAAATCATTGCACTTAGTTGTCCTGTCTCTCAAGACTCCTTTAACCTGGAACAATTTCCCCACCTTCTGTGACTCAATCATATTGAAGAGTCCACAAACTAGTAAGTAGTGTTAAGAATTGCTTTCATTTCTCCCCCTCGTGATTATATTCAGGTTAAATATTTCTGTGAGATAAATATCCAAGTAACATTGTTACTTCCTGTCACAGCATGTCATGTTAACAGTTTTAGGAAGTTTTGTTTTTTTGCTTGTTTATTTGAGAAAGAGAGAGAAGGAGCATGAGTGGAGTGGGGGAAACAGAAGGGGGAGTATGCAGGAAGCCCGACATGGGGCTCGATCCCAGGACCCTGAGAACACGAACCAAAGGCAGACACTCCACTGAGTGAACCACCCAGGCGCCCCATCATTTTAGGAAGTTTAACCCTCAGCTGGTAAGTTTCAGGTACAGTCTTCTAGATCAAAAATATTCTTTCAGATACCTTCCTTTCTCAAATGTTTCCTTCTTTGCAGACCCGCAAAACAGCTAGCTGGCTGGCAGCAGAGCTCTCAAAAGAAGGCCACCAGGTGGCCCTGCTGAGTGGCGAAATGATGGTGGAGCAGAGGGCTGCGGTGATTGAGCGCTTCCGAGAGGGCAAGGAGAAGGTGCTGGTGACCACCAACGTGTGTGCCCGAGGTGAGCAGAGAATCTGTCCGCCAGGCCCTGGGTAGCAAGGGAAGTCCTCCTGTATGGGGCGCTCTGCCAGTTCAGGGCGAGTCCACATGGGCTTGGTGCCAGCATTCTTTCCTGGGAGAGACTGGATTCCCCCAGCAGATGAGAACTGTCACAGAAGTCAGGGGCCTGATGTGGTGGAAGGACAGGGACAGGCACCTCACTGGTCCAGAATGGCACCTTCTCTTTGGGGCCCCCAGTGAGGTTCTGGCTGCATTACTGATGTCCTATTTCTTTGGCACCCTGCCAAAGTTGTTTTTCCCTCTGGATTCTGCTAGGTGCCCCTTGGCCCCAAATCCCAGAGCCAACCTGCCCCAGACTCTTCTTCCACGTGAAGCTGGTGTGTGTCGGCCTTGCTTGGCTGGTGGTGATTTTTGTCTCCCTTCCTGACCTCTCCACTTCTTTCATGCAGGTATTGATGTCGAGCAGGTTTCTGTCGTCATCAACTTTGACCTTCCCGTGGACAAGGACGGGAACCCGGACAACGAGACCTACCTGCACAGGATCGGGCGCACGGGCCGCTTTGGCAAGAGGGGCCTGGCAGTGAACATGGTTGACAGCAAGCACAGCATGAACATCCTCAACAGAATCCAGGAGCATTTTAGTGAGTGCCTGGGAGTGTCTCTGCTGGTGTGCCCTCTCCTTACAGGGGCGAGTCCAAGGGAAGGGGTGAAGGGTAGATTCTCCTGTGGCCCCAAGAAAGGCCTTTGTCCCCAACACAGTCCCCTCCTTCCCTACAATAGGGAAGTGCTCCAAGAGCACACCTGGCGAGTTTTCAGGGTCAGAGACGCAAATGACAGTTCCCCCTTGGCCAGCCTCAGGGGCCTGGGGCTCTGTCCCTTGCTCAGGCACTGGGAGTCTTTGGGCTTAAGTGAAAGGTCGCTGTGGCCAGAGGCATGGCCCATCCCTAGGAAACACGGAACCCTGTGTTTCCTCTCCCTGTGCCGTGCTGTCCCTTCCCTAGGGGTGGGTCTCTGTGGTAGCCCCATGTTGATTTCTCTCTGAATTCTCATCTTCCTCCCCAGATAAGAAAATAGAAAGATTGGACACGGATGATTTGGATGAGATTGAGAAGATAGCCAACTGAGAAGCTCCACCAGTCACCAGTGCCCACGCCTGGCACTCACTCCACCTGCACGGAAGACTAGTGCTTTCATGGCACAGGCCTCAACAGTTACCACAAAGAGGAGGCAGAGGAGAGAGAAACTACCTACCTCATTTTAAATTACGTTTGGACTAGACAAAAATTGTGCAAATGATGGGGGAAGGTAGAAAAAAATTTTGCATTTCGGAAAATTTAGTGGTCCCGCCCCCACCCCCACCCTTTTAAGCCATAGTTTTCCCTATCTTTATAATAATCTCGTTGCTATGGGTAATTGCTGAGCCCAGGATTCCCTGCTTGTTTTGTTGCTGGGGTGATAGGACCGTTCTCCTGTTCCTGAAGAAATGGTAGATGTAGAGAACAGGAGAGGCTCAACAGTGCAGGCTTGTGAGCCCCACTGCACGGTTGGAGTGTGGGCAACAGAGACGCATGAGCTCTTCCCCTTCTCTGTCCCTGACCAGAGAGCTGCCACCAATGTCTCCTGTCCTTGGGCCATCCTCCTCCTAAATCCAGAGATGTTCTGATCCCCCTTTACCTCCATTCTCTGTGCCAGAGGATGTCCCTGTTTCTCTCTGGGTGAGCATCTTAGCTACTTCTATAAACCTTCAGTTTGGAGAGAAACCTGGTGGTCAGTGAATCTTCAGAGGGATTGGTCTGGCAAGGGTAGATGAGTCCTTTGAGAATCTGGGCCTTCCTTTTCCTATAGTTGCTGTGTCTGTTCAGGCACTGGTGGTCATGGCAGCCAGGTGACACCAGGTGAGTTTCTGACACTCACCTGGCCACGTGAGTTGGATCTTATCCATGGGGTGTCACACTGTGCCTAGAGGCAAGCAGCAGAGTTTGGAAGGGAAGTTATGACCAAGTGAAAACACTGATAATGCTCTTTATCTGTGATAGTGGACCTATTGGTTATTTCATTCATCTGTACAAATAAGGACAGATAAATTCGAGCTATACCCATCATTCATTATGTTCAGAAATTTTAAAGTGATTATGAAAGGCTTTACTAATCATGATTCATTTTTATTTGTATTTTTCTGCTTATTAGACTAATATATGCTCATTAAAAAAGTGTGTGTGTGTGTTTGTATACACATACATAAGGTGCAAGTGCTCTCAATCCCCACCTCTCTGAGATCACCATTGCTAGCATTTTGGTGAATATACAATAGATTTGTTTACATATCCACTTTTTTACAAAAATGTGAACATTCTGTTCATAACTCTTGTGCGACCTGCCTTTTCACGTGGCATATCTTGGACGTGTAATGTGTCCAGCACACAGACACACATCACTCATGACAATGGCATCATTCTAGCATTAGCTGCCCCAGTATTTAGTTCATGGCCTCTCTAGTACAAGCATGGGAGATGGCCACAGTGCCGCAGCATGCAGGCTCACTCACCTCTGCCCTAGGAAAGTAGCTGTAGGATCTATTCCTGGAAGTACAGGTGCTGGGGTAGAGAGTGGAAACATTTATGGGTTTTGTTGTTGTTTTTAACATTTATGTTTTTAATCCATTCCCAACTTAACTTGCCAAAAATTTTTTTATCAATTTACATTATTGTAGTGATACAAAAATACCTTCTTTCTCTTTTTTAAAGATTTTTTACTTATTAATTTTGAGAGAGCGAGAACATGAGTAGGGGGAAGGGCAGAAGAGGAAGAAGCAGACTCCTTGCTGAGCAGGGAGCCTGACTTGGGGCTCCATCCCAGAACCCCAAGATCATGACCTGAGCCAAAGGCAGATATTTAACCAACTGAGCCACCCAGGCACCGCCCCCCCAAAATGCCCATTTTCTTACTTGCTTGCCAATCTTCTCTATTACCAATTTTTACAAATTTGCAAGTTGAAAAATGAAATTGTTGCATTATATTTAGTGAGGTTTGGCAAATTTTCAGTTTATTGGATATTTGCATTTTTTGTCTTTTGGGTGCTGCCCATTCTTGCCTCCTCATTTTACTATTGGGTTGTCCTTAATGATTTTAATCCTCTGCAATTTTAAAGAAATTAGACTTTATCTTGAATGGTGGATGTTCTCCTAGTTTGTCTCTACAAACTCATTTTTCATAATATTATTTAAAAGTTTAATGTTACTCAGTTTCTCAGTTTTCATTTTAAAGAAATCTGGATTTATGTCATGGCTAGGAAAGTTTCTCATCCCAGTATCATAAACCCCAGTTTATCCTGTACTCATCCCAGTATTATAAATTATTTACTCATGTTTCCTATAGTGGCAATTCTTGAAGAGTAGATTTTCTAAGTTCTTGTATGTCTTTAAATGTTTTTCCGGACTTATTTGCTGCAAGTGATTATTATGGCTGTCTCAAGAACAAGTGGGTGGCAGAGCTGTGGGTGTGGGCTGGATTCCCTGCCACTAAGGGGGTGAGCATACAAAGGGTCCATTGGGAACAGATGTGAGTGAATGAAAGGCCGGGTGTCCATGCAGGTGTCACCAGGGGAAAGAGTGCCTGCAAGTGTGTGAGGGGTGGATGCAAGCGGGAGGTGGCAAAGGGGTTTGGAGAAGAAAGGTGGGCGAGAAGGGGACCCAGATTCCAGAGAGATGGGACAAGAGGAGGGGGAAAGAGGTACTCGAGAGATGGCAAAGGAAGGAGGGAGGGGAGGGGAGATGGAGGAGACCCGATGGGGCACCAGCGTTCCAGTTAGGTGATACCTACTTTGACCCCAAAAGAGTGTTACAGAAAAGGTAAAAACCAGAGGGGAGTGTAGGAGGCTCAGTGGTTGAGCATCTGCCTTTGGCTCAGGCTATGGTCCTGGGGTCCTGGGATCGAGTCCTGCATCCAGCTCCTTGCAGAGAGTTCACTTCTGCCTATGTCTCTGTGTGTCTCTAGTAAATAAAGAAAATCTTAAAAAAAAAAAAAAAAGGTAAAAACCAGAAAACACTCTGCCTGACCCAAAAACAAGATGAATATTTCTGTGGACCAGCAATGGGGTAAAAATGCAAAGCGGTGAGGCAGGGCTGAAGCCAAAAGCTTGCTCGGCTCCAATCCAGAAACAGTAGCTACTGGCTATTAGGTCCTGTGGAGTAGAGGGCACCGGAAGCATTGCATTTAAGACTGGAACCAAAGCCAGGCTCACTGCTGAGAGGGAGCTGGCCTGGAACTTGGCCTGCACGCTGGCTGGATGTGAGACCATTAAGGCCCAGGCCCATGAAGGCATGGGAGGACTTGGACCACCCACCCCCTCTTAGAACAGGCAAGTGACACAATCCTGTTGACTGCCTGCTGTGTGATATCCCCAGGTGACTGAATGTCAGCAGACCTGGTTCTAGAATAAAAGCCAAAAGGGCAGGAGCTGGATGGAGCCAACTGCTAACCACCTGTGGATTGTCATGGGGAAGAAATCTATGCAGACTGCAAACAAGATCAAATCCACCCCTGATAAAACTGTTAGGAATGGTATGATAAAAGACTTTAAGTATATTTGAATGCTTAAAGAGAAAGAATACACTTCACTAAAAAAAGAGCATGCAATTATTAAGTAAATTTAGATAAAAGGAGTGGTGTGCCGAAACTCAACACAAGCTGACTGTTAAGTCATTGGTAACTGGCTGCACTGGGAGTATTTACCACCAAAGTCAGGAAACACTACAAATCAGGGTTTTATTTGGTTTTAGACAATTCACCATACCACTGAAAAGAAAACAATATTAGAAATTTTAGAAAAGAGGAAGGTAGTCATTGAGATAAAGTCAATAAATGGGAATCCTAGATTTAAAATCCTAATTAGGGGTGCCTGGGTGGCTCAGTGGGTTAAGTGTCTACCTTCAGCTCTGGTCATGATCCTGGGGTTCTGGGATCAAGCCCCACATCAGGCTCCCTGCTCAGTTTGGAGTCTGCTTCTCCCTTTCCCGCTACCCCTCCCCCTGCTCGTGCTTATCTCTCTCTCTCTCTCTCTCTCTGAAATAAAAATCTTAAGAAAAAATAATAAAAGTCCTAATTATACCCTTGGAGGCACCTGGCTGGCTCAGTCAGTGGAGCATACGATCATGAATTTGGCCCCACGTTGGGTGTAGAGATTACTTAAATATAAAATCTTAAAATCAAAACCTAATTATATTCTCATTTTAAAGACAATAAAAATCCAAATTTCAGTAGATTCACATAACAAAATTATTTCTTAGGGGGCCTGGGTGACTCAGTTAAGCATCCAACTTTTGATCTCAGTTCAGGTCTTGATCTCACAGTTGTGAGTTCAAGCCCCGTGTTGGCTCCACACAGCATGGAGCTTACTTAAAAAAGCAACAAAGAACTATTTCTTGTTTTAATATCTAACATGGGGGATGCCTGGGTGTCTCAGCGGTTTGGTGTCTGCTTTGGCCCAGGGCATGATCCTGGAGACCCAGGATCGAGTCCTGCATCAGGCTCCCTGCATGGAGCCTGCTCTCTCTGCCTATGTCTCTCTCCGTGTGTCTCTCATGAATAAATAAATAAATAAACAAATAAATAAATAAAATCTTTTAAAAATTATAATAAAATATAATAAAAAAATAAAGTCTAACATGGGAAGTCCAAAGGAACCATAGGGGCACCTGGCTGGCTTGGTGAAGCATGGTTACTTTTGATATCAGGATTCTGAGTTTGAGCCCTATGTTGGGTGTAGAGATTACTTAAAAATAAAATCTTTCAAAAATAAATAGGGGAACCTGGGTGGCTCAGTCAGTAGGATGTCCAACTCCTGATTTTGACTCGGGTCATGATCTTAGGGTCTTGGGATGGAGCTCTTCATCTAGCCCCACATCCCAATCAGACTCCAGGCTCTGCAGGGAGTGGGCCTGAGGATTTTCCTCCCTCTTCCGGTGCCCCTCCCCCTTTCAAATAAATAAATCTAAATAGGAAGGAAGGAAGATCACAGAGGTAAATTTTCATTTTCATCACATCATACCAAAGGCACATATAATCAACATGACATCAGTTGTGACCTGGCAGAGGTAATGTCAGGTTTTTCCAGTGCAAAATTATGTTCTTCTCCCTTTCCATACCTTTCTCTTTGAAAGGAAGTCACTACATACATCTATGGAATGGTGAGCCATGCTCCCCCTTTGAGGGCAGAGTAGTTACGTAAATTATTTGGAATTATTCTATGTGGGAGATTTGTCTCTTCCCCATTTATTAATTTATTCAGTCGTGTTTTTATAGAAGTATGGACAGGTGATGTTAATTCTTGATTATTTGGCTAAGGTGAGTTTGATATTTTAAAAAAATGGGGGTACCTGGGTGGCTCAGTGGTTGAACATCTGCCTTTGGGTCAGGTCATGATCAGGGATCATGGGATCAAGTCCCACATCGGGCTCCCTGCACGGAGCCTGCTTCTCCCTCTGCCTATGTCTCTGTCTCTCTCTGTGTCTCCCATGAATAAATAAAATCTTTAAAAAAAAATTTTTAAGTATACTCGCATCTTAAAGTTTAGTTATCCTTCATAGCAAAGAAAGCTGAGATTCCAGACCCTTCCCTTGAATGGTCTTTAGTGTGGTGGTTCATGGAAACAGTTTCACAGGAAGAGCTGTGCAGACAAAGCCTGGGAGACTGGAAAAGTGGTCCAGAATGGGTAGGGTTCTCTTTCCTTCTATGGAACACTTTACCCATTTTATGACAAGTCATAAATACAAATGAAATATTGCACAAGCCTTCTATGTTTTACTTTATATATTTATGAGTTGTTTCAATTATTTTTGTAATGATTATTATTTTTTAATGTAAAATAAAAGACAAAGGTAGCAGAGTAGAGCAAAGAGAGGATTAAACTCAGAACCCCCTGAATGCAGACACCCACCATATGTTTGCTCTACCTCCCAAGCCTTCTTGGAGAGAAGCCATGCTGCCAGAAAGAGCCTGTATTATTTTCCAGAACAGAAACAGTTGTTAGATGAAAGGTGTTAATTCTATATTCTCAGAGGAACAAGCTGGTCCTGATACCCATGGTTCAGCAAGCGTGGGGGGAGGGGGCATCTTCTTGCAATTATGTGGGTTAGTTGTCATCCAGGCGTAGACTTGCTGCAGAAACTGTGGTTTTTCTGGAAGGGTAGTGAGAAGGGGCACCGATTCTTAAACTCAGAAAATAATATTTTAATTTTTAAAAATACAAGTTTAGGATCTCATCTTTTCCCTAACTTAGCAAGGAAAGAGGTTTCCTAACCTTGCCAAACTTGTCATAGGAAGTAGCTCCCAGCCTGCTGAATGGCAGTCTGCAGCTGTTCCCGCGAGGGCTAAAATCCTTAACCCCTTCCTTCCTTTCCCCAACATCCATCCATCCCTGCCCAGACCATAAATCCAAGCACTTCTCTTTAAAGAGCCCTCTGTGTCATAGACCGTGTTACTGCTCATCCAAATATGGTGCTTAACCCAGAGGAGAGTTACACATCTCTGCTAAGGGGCCAAAACTCAGGCAGGCCATGGAACTTCTTTGGCATCAAGGAGATATGAACTTCTTGACAGAAGCCTTAAGAGCTAGTATGTGGTTCACCAGATTCTCTTTTTCCTGCTCCTGAGACCCAAGATCCATCACAGATGGTACCACTACCTGTCTGGGTCTTGAGTGACCATGATAAGCAGAGAACCCCGGGATAGAAATGTGGCTTAAGTGAGAAATAAACCTTGCTGGTTTGAGCCACTGGGAGATTCAGAGGTGTTTGTTACTGCAACGTGATCTAGCTCATCCTTACCCCTCCACCCCCATGGAATGGCTGGTGCCCTGTCCAGCCACCCAATGCGAACCCGGAGGGTAGGTAAGCCCCATCCAGGTACACAAAGTTCCCAAGCAGTTTCTTGATCCACTATTTCAGAGGAGAAAACAATCTTCAATTCCCACATACTTGAAAAGCTTCCATTATGACAGAGAGGCGTTCAATAAGCAATTACAAAAAATCTACTCTGTGGAGACAGAGGGAAACCAAGGAAAGAAAAAGTGTCTACTAAGTACATGAATAAACGTCACACATACCAAACTTTCCTTCCCACAACCCTTGTAACCTACAAGAATTGAAAAAGGAATAAACTCCCATGGACAAATCAAATGGCAATTACATCAGTAGAAAAATAATTTAACAAAATGTTTGGAACACACACATACACACACACACACAAACACGATGAAAAAGCTCCCATTTTTAGCAATACAGGGGACTATATAGAGCATGAAAAAAATCCCAATCCAAATACTAATTACAAAGCTGAAATAAGTATACACTCTATTTGAACTTACCAAGGAGCTACCACTTTTAGGGGTTTATTTTTTACATTTAATTCTGATTCACTTGGCATTTTGGTGAATGTTTTCAAGTATGGATGTAATTCTTATCTTTTTCAAATGGTTATCTAGTTGTCCCAATAAAATTTATTTAAATCTCCCTCTTTTCCTAAGTGACTTGAGAGGCCATCTTTATGATTAACATTTCCATATGGACTCAGGTCTAGGCAACCAGGCTAATGAAACAGAAGAGTATCCAGAAATACACTCAAGTGACTATAGGAACATCAAAGTAGTGGTCACCCTCAAAGGAAGGAAGGGTTTTGTGCTTAGCAAGGAAGATGGAGTGGGGAGGCCTC